CTTATTATTGGCTTGTCATTACCTTCACAGCTACCATCCTCAATTTACATGAAGGGTGGGACCAGGACATGAAAGGAATACGTTGACGTCAAGAAAGTTGCTGACACGCAAGGCCTTGACAAATCTGCAGGCCTTCTGGGACTGCAGGTGTTTACAAGGGGATAGCCTAAAAGTCGGGCCAAGAAAAGTCGGGCCGGACATGGCCGGGCCAGCGGGTTATACTAAAAATGGATTGCAGAATAATAAAACGAAATGTGCATATCTAGGCAGATCGCAAATGTCCACAAACGTATAGTTTTGCTCATTTAATTGAGTTTGAATCAAAATGCATCTTTAACAATGTAATAAATATAGAATACTAAACGAGCTCCCGTGTAATACCAATTTTATGAAACGAGTGAATAGTTGTGGTATGTGACGAGCGAAAGCGAGTCAGATACCACAACTATTCACGAGTTCCATAAAATTGGTTTTACACGGGAGCGAGTTTAGTATTTTATTTATTACTAGCCATTTATAACGTTTTCAGAATTATACTGTTGAGTGTGAATAGGCTGACACCTACACGATCCACGGCATAATCCAATTGAGTTTAACACAATAATACTTCAAGCACGTCAAAAGTTGAAACGTATGAATTCAATACCATACAACGGCCCACCTTTAGAATTCAGGCGTCCGTTCCACAAAATTATAGTAGCGTTAAGGTTATCGCAGCTCACATACTTTAACTTAGACTAACGACTGTCGTGCTACAGTACGATCGCCTTGTGGAACGGGGCCTTGCAGCTCAAAGTTTACAATGACGTCACAATACCGATGACGTAATTTGTGGAATTTTGTTGCAAGATCCTTCGGCGAAACAATGCCATATGACGTCAGCCTAGCAACAAGGTTGCTGGGGTCATCGAGTGTGCATAAGCTCCTCTCAGTGATCTATCATCTCCACACGCAATGTCGTTGAATAAGCCAAGGGATGTTGAGAGCTTTCAATATTTGTTCTAGAAACGTGTTCGGAGAGTACATCAGCACGCGTTTTGGTATTACACAATGTGTAATACAGCTGTATGTTTATTAAACGGGTGATCTCTTCACGGGCAAGTAATAAACTGATAATTATGACTACATACCGTGATTCCTCGTAGAAAAGTCAGTGTCTTGACTGTGTGGCAGGACAAGGGACCGCGAGGTGCTAGGGACCATGGTGTACAAGGTACAAGGGACCGTGAGGTGCTAGGGACCGCGTGGTGCTAGGGACCATGGTGTACAAGGAACAAGGGACCGGGAGGTGCTAGGGACCATGGTGTACAAGGGACAAGGGACCGTGAGGTGCTAGGGACCATGGTGTACAAGGAACAGGGGACAGTGGGGAACGTACCACGTGAGGTACTAGGGACCATGGTGGACAAGGGACAAGGGACCGCGAGGTGCTAGGGACAATGGGATACAAGGGACCGTGAGGTACTAGGGACCATGGTGGACAAGGGACAAGGGATCGTGAGGTCCTAGGGACCATGGTGTACAAGGAACAAGGGACAGTGAGAAACAAGGGACCGCGAGGTGCTAGGGACCATGGTGTACAAGGAACAAGGGACAGTGAGGTGCTAGGGACCGCGTGGTGCTAGGGACCATGGTGTACAAGGGACAAGGGACCGGGAGGTGCTAGGGACCATGGTGTACAAGGGACAAGGGATCGCGTGGTGCTAGGGACCATGGTGTACAAGGGACAAGGGACCGTGAGGTGCTAGGGACAATGGTGTAAAAGGGACAAGGGGCAGTGGGATACAAGGGATCGGGAAGTGCTAGGGACCATGGTGGACAAGGGACAAGGGATCGTGAGGTGCTAGGGACCATGGTGTACAAGGACCAAGCGACAGTGAGATACAAGGGACAGTGAGGTGCTAGGGACCATGGTGTACAAGGGACAAGGGACAGTGAGATGCTAGGGACCATGATGTACAAGGAACAAGGGACAGTGGGATACAAGGGATCGTGAAGTGCTAGGGACCATGGTGTACAAGGACCAAGGGACAGTGAGATACAAGGGACCGCGAGGTGCTAAGGACCATGGTGTACAAGGAACAAGGGACAGTGGGATACAAGGGATCGGGAAGTGCTAGGGACCATGGTGTACAAGGACCAAGGGACAGTGAGATACAAGGGACAGTGAGGTGCTAGGGACCATGGTGTACAAGGGACAAGGGACCATGGTGTACAAGGGACCGTTAGGTGCTAGGGACCATGGTGTACAAGGGACCGTTAGGTGCTAGGGACCATGGTGTACAAGGGACAAGGGACCGCGAGGTGCTAGGGACCATGGTGTACAAGGGACAAGGGACCGTGAGGTGCTAGGGACCATGGTGTACAAGGGACAAGGGACCGCGAGGTGCTAGGGACCATGGTGGACAAGGGACAAGGGACCGTGAGGTGCTAGGGACCATGGTGTACAAGGGACAAGGGACCGCGAGGTGCTAGGGACCATGGTGGACAAGGGACAAGGGACCGTGAGGTGCTAGGGAGCATGGTGTACAAGGGACAAGGGACCGCGAGGTGCTAGGGAGCATGGTGTACAAGGGACAAGGGACCGTGAGGTGCTAGGGACCATGGTGTACAAGGGACAAGGGACCGTGACGACCAGGCTAGTCCACAACACTCCACTACCTTTCTGAAAGAAGCGACTTATCTGTATCGAGTGATCAAGCTCTATGACTTTGTTGACTCCGTGCAATCGTTCCCCGACAGCGTGGTCTTTGCTCATAATATCAGCCACTGATTTGTCAGGTCCAGACTCTGTTTTGTACAGGCCATGATATAACTTGGCTATTGCTGAAAGCGGTGTTACACAACTTCCACTCACTCCTAGAAACCTGTTATGACCCGGAATGAGCGGTGTCACTGTCTTTGAAGTTATAACATTGGCTAAGAAACATGAAATGTTTGTTTATAATTATAAACATATGACCAGTATTTATATTTATATTATATTTGGACTAAGGAAACGATGGGACAAGCAGACCAATGACACTTTACAGTTTGACATTAGACATTGAAATCATTGATCAAAGTAGGGAACAGCAACCCACATCATAGAAGAGATGTGATAATATATCACATTCAGTTTACAGGTGACATATAGACCCATAATGATCCCTCGGGAACAAACTGCCATATAGGTTTTCATAAATACATACATTCGCTCTAATGCCTTCACGTTGTCTATCCATTGGTGACAGCCTCCGTGGTCTAGTGGTAGAGCGTCCGCCCGGAGAGCGGAAGGTCCGGGGTTCGATCCCCGGCCGCGTAATTCCAAAAAGACGTTAAAAGATGGTACTTGTTGTTACCCTGTCTGGCGCTCGGCATTAAGGGGCTAAAACAAGGACTGGTCGGCTCGGAGTCAGTATACTGTATCTGAGTGGGGTATTCATGTTAAACTGCGGCATGGTATTTCAGTGAGCTGGCACTATTAATCGGCACTAGTACAAGCAGCCACACATACGTGCATGCACGTCGCTTTATAAGTGCAATAATCATGGACGTGACGTTAAACACCATTTCACCTCGCCTCACCTGGGCCTGACCTAAATGACAACATAACAACAAGAATAAGTCACAATGTTCTGCATTGTATAGACATAAAGCCACCCAGTTGATAGATACATCAAATTCTTAAGAGAACAGAATCTCTCGTCTTGTTATGAAGTTACTGATTAGATCGACCAGGTCTTAATTACCAGATGCGTTGAAAGGAGACCTATTTTAAGATAGTCGTTGTAATGAAGACAACTTTCGCGAGGCGGATGAGTCAACCCATTCGTATCCCTTGAGTGATACACCGCCTTCTTGGCCTAGTGGATAGAGCGTTAGTCCGGACAGAGAAAGGTCGGTGGTTCGACCCCCGGCCGTATGATACCAAAAATGTGGTACTTGATGTTACCCTGCCTGGCGTTCGGCATCAACTTTTGAAGGCATCAAGAAACACACACACACACACACACACACACACACACATACACACACACACACACACACACACACACGCACACACGCACGCACGCACGCACGCACGCGCGCGCGCGCACGCGCGCGCAGGTTCTTCAAAAGCGCAATAATCTTATTAGTAGTGAGTGAAAGGTGTAACTAATGTATCTCTATCAAGGTACATAATCGCGCGTGCACTAGTGAAACCAGTGGTCGATAGTATGAGCATCGACTAATGACGTTGGGGTACAATGACACGCAATCAGCCGGGTTACCCATGGGTCACCAGGGGCGGTCTGGTAGCCTAGTGGTTAAAGCGTTCGCTCGCCACGCCGAAGACCCGGGTTCGATTCCCGACATGGGTACAATGTGTGAAGCCCATTTCAGGTGTCCCCCGCCGTGATATTGCTGGAATTTTGCTAAAAGCGGCGTAAAACCATACTCACTTACTAACTCATGGGTCACCTTGGTCGGCTTCTACGACTCGAAGAGACACTGCCCCGTATACCTAATGCCCACAAGGAGCAAGCCTTACCAGTCGAAGACCGGTCACAGATGTGTGAACAAATTATTGGTGTCCCCCCGCTGTGATATTATTGTGTTATTGTTCACCCTCTTGCCGAGATAATACAAACCTCACTCACTCACATGTTTATCTGGCAAATGCGTCCTTGAATGACGTGTATTAAATTAAACCGGATCAACCTGAAAAAAATAAACCGTCCATGAACTACTTTTATATCATAGAATATCAACATTTGGAATTTGACAGCCAGTGTGAAAAACGTGCGTCATAATAAATCACTTTCAAATAAAACCCTTTGAACGGAGATCGTCTAGCTATGCGAATAAAGAGCCGATGTTGAAGTGGTAGGTTCAACCATGTGACAGCACGGCGGATACAAATGGTTCGTGTGAGTGGAATCATAGAACTCCCATCTCCAATGTGAAGGAATGCTAAAGCAAAGGAGGGTCTTTGTTAATGCTATTGAACCCATGTCTTCAATATCCACAACAAGCGCCTGAAAGAGACGTATTTGTAAGCATAGACAGGCAATAACGAATTCAATGTACCAGTCTATGGAACGATATCTGACAAACTTACTTACATACATTTAAATACATGTACTCCGCAGCCAGCGTGGATTTACGGCTTGACTCAGTCGGATTTCGTCGGCTTGTGAAACCGGGATGATCTAAGTGATATTTAAACTTCCTGATGGAATAATATGTAAAGTGATACCCTCGGATCTGGCTTTGTGGTATTATAACCAACATGTTGTCATCATGGATAGTGTTCCTTGTTTTCGCCGTGCTGGTGAAAGGCGTCAATGGTGTATGTATGATATTAATGTTACACGTTCATATATAATTAATATACATTTTCATTTAATTGAAGAATTGTCATTTACATTGTTCTATTTCATGGAAATTTGTTTTCAGTTTCTTTATTTTTTCACTTTGAATTTGTTTTGTAAACAAGTGGTTTAGTAACTATACACTTATTTGGATGACCGTGTCCTACATCTTTGTAGATATCAGAGACATGGCTCCAGACTAATAAACCTTCATTTAAAACTATATATAACTTCATCCCGACCAATGTGTCAAATAAATAATAATAATAATAATAATAATAATAATAATAACGCTGCATTGTTATCACTCCGGTAAATGGATCAGTGTGCACATGGCTTTCATTCTCAGCTCCATGGGGAGTATACAACCCTGTGAGGCTCTAGAAGGTTAATAATCACTTTACATTAATCACGGGTACCCATTCCCTATCACTACTACTATTTCTATTACCCTGTGGCAATTCCGAGTCCGGGACCAAGTAACCTTGTTTGTCGTAAGAGGTGACTAAAGTGCACCGTTGGTCAGCTTCGATTATTGATGGTTGATGTACTCCGAGGCGCAAACGTTGCTCATAATATCAACCACTGGTTTGTCTTGCCCAGTCCAGATGTTTTAACAGCCTGGAATATTGCTAAGTGCCGAGTAAAACATCCACTAATGCTGATACTAATACTGATACTAATACTAATACTGATATTGATATTGATATTGATATTGATATTGATATTGATACTAATACTGATACTGATACTGATATTGAAACTGATACTAATACTGATAATAATACTAATACTGATACTGATACTGATACCGATACTGTATCCCAATTGTGTATATCGATGCACATGATGTCAATCACTGGACTGTCTGGTCCAGACTCTATTATTAACAGGATACCGCCACATAGCAAGTTAGTATTATTACATTTGGTGTTACCATTATCTCCAGCAAATGACTATCAGTAGTACCCCCCTGGTGGCCAATGTGTATGAAGAAGAGAGGTCCCGGATCAGCCTGACGGACATCGTGTGTACCCACACGGCCGACATAACCGTCTTCCTTCAGAGTGTCTCGCCGACCACTCTCTGTGCAACGTGCTTCGCCGTCTACAAGATCGCCCCATCCATAAGTAGGTAGCCCCCTTTCCCTTTGAGAGTAGCCCCTCTTTCTCTTTGACAGTAGCCCCTCTTCATCTGTAACTCTGTCTTAGTGAGTAGCCCTGCACACCTGTAACCCTATTATCCTCTTCGTAACTAGCCCTTTATCCACGTGAGTAGCCCACACACCCTCTATTTAGGGATCACATCACCCTCTTCGTTAGTAGCCCTTTCTCTGCGTGAGTATCCACACCCCCTCTTCGCGAGAATATCGTACAGGATTTGATCGTAAGACAGCAGCCATAGCGCTAAGATCACCCACCTTCTGACACGGATGTCAATATATGGATTCGATCATACTTTAACACAGACTCCCATACTTTGACACAGACTCCCATACTTTAACACAGACTCCCATACTCCCATACTTTGACACAGACTCCCATGCTTTAACACAGACTCCCATACTTTAACACAGACTCCCATGCTTGAACACAGACACCCATACTTTAACACAGACACCCATACTTTAACACAGACTCCCATACTTTAACACAGACTCCGATGCTTTAACACAGACTCCCATGTTTTAACACAGACTCCCATACTTTAACACAGACTCCCATACATTAACACAGACTCCCATACTTTAACACAGACTCCCAGACTCCCATACTTTAACACAGACTCCCATACTTTAACACAGACTCTCATGCTTTAACACAGGCACCCACACTTTAACACAGACTCCCATACTTTAACACAGACTCCCATACTTTAACACAGACTCTCATGCTTTAACACAGGCACCCACACTTTAACACAGACTCCCATACTTTAACACAGACTCCCATACTTTAACACAGACTCCCATGCTTTAACAAAGACTCCCATGTTTTAACACAGACTCCCATACTTTAACACAGACTCCCATGCTTGAACACAGACACCCATACTTTAACACAGACACCCATACTTTAACACAGACTCCCATACTTTAACACAGACTCCCATACTTTAACACAGACTCCCATACTTTAACACAGACTCCCATACTTTAACACAGACTCCCATACTTTAACACAGACTCCCATACTTTATCACAGACTCCCATACTTTAACACAGACACCCATACTTTAACACAGACTCCCATACTTTAACACAGACTCCCATACTTTAACACAGACACCCATACTCCCATACTTTAACACAGACTCCCATACTTTAACACAGACTCCCATACTTTAACACAGACTCCCATACTTTATCACAGACTCCCATACTTTAACACAGACACCCATACTTTAACACAGACTCCCATACTTTAACACAGACTCCCATACTTTAACACAGACTCCCATACTTTAACACAGACACCCATACTTTAACATAGACTCCCATACTTTAACACAGACTCCCATACTTTAACACAGACTCCCATACTTTAACACAGACTCCCATACTTTAACACAGACACCCATACTTTAACACAGACTCCCATACTTTAACACAGACACCCATACTTTAACACAGACTCCCATACTTTAACACAGACTCCCATACTTTAACACAGACACCCATACTTTAACACAGACTCCCATACTTTAACACAGACTCCCATACTTTAACACAGACTCCCATACTTTAACACAGACACCCATACTTTAACATAGACTCCCATACTTTAACACAGACTCCCATACTTTAACACAGACTCCCATGCTTTAACACAGACTCCCATACTTTAACACAGACTCCCATACTTTAACACAGACTCCCATACTTTAACACAGACTCCCATACTTTAACACAGACACCCATACTTTAACATAGACTCCCATACTTTAACACAGACTCCCATACTTTAACACAGACTCCCATGCTTTAACACAGACTCCCATACTTTAACACAGACTCCCATACTTTAACACAGACACCCATACTTTAACACAGACTCCCATACTTTAACACAGACACCCATACTTTAACACAGACTCCCATACTTTAACACAGACACCCATACTTTATCACAGACTCCCATACTTTAACACAGACACCCATACTTTAACACAGACTCCCATACTTTAACACAGACTCCCATACTTTAACACAGACACCCATACTCCCATACTTTAACACAGACTCCCATACTTTAACACAGACTCCCATACTTTAACACAGACTCCCATACTTTATCACAGACTCCCATACTTTAACACAGACACCCATACTTTAACACAGACTCCCATACTTTAACACAGACTCCCATACTTTAACACAGACACCCATACTTTAACATAGACTCCCATACTTTAACACAGACTCCCATACTTTAACACAGACTCCCATGCTTTAACACAGACTCCCATACTTTAACACAGACTCCCATACTTTAACACAGACACCCATACTTTAACACAGACTCCCATACTTTAACACAGACACCCATACTTTAACACAGACTCCCATACTTTAACACAGACACCCATACTTTATCACAGACTCCCATACTTTAACACAGACACCCATACTTTAACACAGACTCCCATACTTTAACACAGACTCCCATACTTTAACACAGACACCCATACTCCCATACTTTAACACAGACTCCCATACTTTAACACAGACTCCCATACTTTAACACAGACTCCCATACTTTATCACAGACTCCCATACTTTAACACAGACACCCATACTTTAACACAGACTCCCATACTTTAACACAGACTCCCATACTTTAACACAGACTCCCATACTTTAACACAGACACCCATACTTTAACATAGACTCCCATACTTTAACACAGACTCCCATACTTTAACACAGACTCCCATACTTTAACACAGACTCCCATACTTTAACACAGACACCCATACTTTAACACAGACTCCCATACTTTAACACAGACACCCATACTTTAACACAGACTCCCATACTTTAACACAGACTCCCATACTTTAACACAGACACCCATACTTTAACACAGACTCCCATACTTTAACACAGACTCCCATACTTTAACACAGACTCCCATACTTTAACACAGACACCCATACTTTAACATAGACTCCCATACTTTAACACAGACTCCCATACTTTAACACAGACTCCCATGCTTTAACACAGACTCCCATACTTTAACACAGACTCCCATACTTTAACACAGACTCCCATACTTTAACACAGACTCCCATACTTTAACACAGACACCCATACTTTAACATAGACTCCCATACTTTAACACAGACTCCCATACTTTAACACAGACTCCCATGCTTTAACACAGACTCCCATACTTTAACACAGACTCCCATACTTTAACACAGACACCCATACTTTAACACAGACTCCCATACTTTAACACAGACACCCATACTTTAACACAGACTCCCATACTTTAACACAGACTCCCATACTTTAACACAGACTCCCATACTTTAACACAGACACCCATACTTTAACACAGACTCCCATACTTTAACACAGACTCCCATACTTTAACACAGACTCCCATACTTTAACACAGACACCCATACTTTAACATAGACTCCCATACTTTAACACAGACTCCCATACTTTAACACAGACTCCCATGCTTTAACACAGACTCCCATACTTTAACACAGACTCCCATACTTTAACACAGACTCCCATACTTTAACATACTTTAACACAGACTCCCATACTTTAACACAGACTCCCATACTTTAACACAGACTCACATACTTTAACACAGACTTACGAAAGCAGTAGCACTAAGATCACCTTGATCAGTACAGGAAAACACTCAGTCCTGTTAGTTTATTATTTTACGCCGCAGTCGACTTCATTTCAAATATACTATGACCTGTAAATCAAAATTTCTTGACAAGACAACCCCATTGGAACCACCAACAAACTAGATAATCAATTGTGTTGTCTGCCAATGGTGCCTCTTCCACTGAACGCTGCTGTGCTATATTTACATTCGCTTTTTTATATAACTTTTGCTGTTTACTCTCAGACTTTCAGCTCTTCTACCTCCCGAGTCAGGGGAACCTCTCCTACGCCTTGGTCCCCATCTACGACATCACGGTGACGTGCACTGATGGAGCAGGGACGAGTCTCTCCACCACCATCAACGTACGAGTAAGGACTAACGAGCCGCCGAGGTTTAACACATTTTCAGGCACGTATTACACACGTCCAAACCTCTTTGAACATTTCGCTGAAATACTGATTGTTAGAATTTTCTGAATGAATAATAAGGTTAAAATACACACGTTATAATGATACTAGTTCATATTGATTATCAATTAAGTAGCTGAATCGATAAATACCATGTAACCTTTTTGCAAACTGTCTTAAATTTTCTGACCGCCTCCGTGGTCTTATGGTAGAGTGTTCACCCGTAGAGCGGAAGGTCCGGGGTTCGATCCCCAGCCGCGTCCTACCAAAAGACGTTAAAAATTGGTACTTGTTGTTACCCTGGCTGGCGCTCGGCATTAAGGGGCTAAAACAAGGACTGGTCGGCTCGGAGTCAGTATACTGTGTCTGAGTGGGATATTCATGTTAAACTGCGGCATGGTATCTCAGTGTGCTAGCACTATAAATCGGCATCAGTCCGGACTAGTACAAGCAGGCACGCACGTACGCACACACACACACACACGTACATGCACGTCGCTATATAAGTGCATTAATCTTGGACGCGACGTTAAACCCCATTTCACCTCACCTCTTTAATTTTCTTAACATGGCTAAATAATCAATTTGAATTTATGCAGGTTACGGTTAATTATTATTAGGAAGTGGAAAGCGCAAAATATTTTAATTCGGAGGACACACTAATCAAATTTTTATTGGGATTCTTTGTTTATTTCAACTTGAATTGAAGCTGTTACTGCGTCTGTTCCATTGCACTGGAATACCAGTCGTAAGTGAAGTAGTATCTGACCAACATGACCAACAACGGAATCGAACAGCTTCATTGTCACGTCTATTGCCTGGTTCTTTGCTTTCTCGAGACAAACTCAACCGTCTCCCTGGTCTAGTGGTAGAGCGTCTGCCTAGAGAGATGAATGTCTGTTGTCGATCCCCGGTCGCGTCATGCCAGTACGTGTTATTACCCTGCCTGGCGCTCGGCAATACGGGGATAAAATTATGACCTGCATTAGTCCGGACTAGTACCAGCAACCTCACCTCACCTCGAGACAAACTCTGAACAAAATAATATAAAATGTATTCATTAGAACCGCCAAAGGAACCGCCAAAGAACCAGTTTTGCTAAATAACGATCACACTCTACCTTAAACTTTTCGATTCTCACAGATATTTATTATAAGCCATTGTTAAACAGAACAGTACGGATCTCGTTAAATTTGTCCTGGTTAGCTAAATTTCCAGTTAAACGAATTACGTACGTAGTGATTTCCCTGTGACAACATTTAAGCCCAAACAGCAATCACCCGGATGTGGTCTCCCGACTAACGCTGATTCACTTGCGCTGTGAACAATGTGCTACTATTTTAGCCCTATATGTGCTAAGGGTTGTGTTTGTTTTGCATGTTTTATTTCAATTACAATCTAAACAAATGAAATGGTATAAGGCGTAACGCTCCGAACCCACACTCATCTGACACGCCGTGATATTACCGGAATACTGCTAAAAGCGGCGTTAAACCCAACTCACTCACTCACTGTAATACTTCTATTTGTCTGCTATTCCATCGTACATCATGCCAATCTAGAATCAATATATTTTGAACATGCTGGTTCTAAACACGTTTAGATTTTAAACATGTTTAGATCCTAAGTATGTGACACTGAACGTGTTTAGGACCAAAAAACATTTTGTACACTGTATTAAAATTATATAGAATCATACATAATCGACGATATATATTTGAGAAAACCGCATTCGAGACGAGAGGATTGTCAGTTGTATGTTAATCCATTACAGCGACAGTGACAAACATCAACGCCAAGACAACCAAAAATGGGGCAGTGATCTACATAGAGACAGGTGTTACAGAGCCGGACGGTGATGCGGTGTTCTACAACATGACTGTTCAGCCCGCCTCCAGTGCCTCCAAATACGAGATTGGACTCAGTATGTACACTCTAACATCCATTGTCCTACTTTACATGCTAATTCTCCTTATTAATGTACCAATAGGAGTCGAGCTGCCTCCATGGTCTAGTGGATAGAGCGCCTGCCCACAGGGCGAATGTCGGTGGTTTGATCCCTGGCCGCGTCATAGCAAAAGATGTTATAAGATGGTACTTGTTGTTACCCTGCCTGGCGCTCATGATATTAAGGGAATACACACAGCAACATTCCTACGGACATGCAAGGCGCTATATAAGTGAAATAGTCTTGAACGCGATGTTAAACCCCATGTGTGTGTGTGTGTGTGTGTGTGTGTGTGTGTGTGTGTGTGTGTGTGTGTGTGTGTGTGTGTGTGTGTGTGTGTGTGTGTGTGTGTGTGAGAGGGAGAGAGAGTGTCTGTCTGGGTGTGTATGTGCGAGTGTGTGTGTGTGTGAGAGAGAGAGAGAGTCTGTCTGGGTGTGTATGTGTGAGTGTGTGTGTGAGAGAGAGAGAGAGAGAGAGAGAGAAAGAGAGAGTGAGAGAAAGAGAGAGAGAAAAAAAAGAGAGAGAGAGTGCGTGTGTGTTTGTGGTGCGTATTACACACTTAAGTTTAGATATACTATATATAGTAACGAAATGACGTTGTTTCAGCTGACGGAGTAGTCCGGGCTACTGCAGACCTCTCCTCGGAGTGTTTTCCAACGCTCGTGTTCTTTATATACGTACACGACAGCAGAAACGTCATCGTGGGACCCAAAGTCATCACCGTACAGTTTTCAGGTACTGTCTGATGGATGTATTCGCTTATATAATCATTGGCAGGGCAGCATAATCACTTATGTGCGGATTGTGGATCAGTCGAAAGATTAGGGCCTTATTGGTAAATAGACGTTCGACATTAATCTTAAATTCCACGTCAATGTGTGGTACTCAAAAGCCCTGAATAGCGAGGATGGCTTGTCCTGTTATTTCAGTTATTTAATATGTTGACCACGAGAAGGTTTCTACTGTTGCTCAGAGGCGCTATGCATGACATATTTCAGATTACTACCAAGTGCCCTATATCCCGGGGGTCAACAAAGATGTGACCGTGTCTGAAGATCTGCCAATCAACAGCATAATACACGACATCCAGGCGGTCAGTGATCCAGTAGCCACCTACACTATAGACACTTCACCCTCTATAGCAGCATTCATTTTTGAAGTAAACAGTAAGTTGATCCAGAAAACATGGGACGTGAGTTTGCTACAAAAAGCTGCATTTTCTCACCATCTTATGTCGCTATAGTTATTTCTACTATTGCTCCTATCGCTACAAATTCTGATGCTACTACTATCGCTACTACTTCTGTTGCTACTACTTCTGCTTCTACTACTTCTACTATTACCGCTACTACTTCTACTAATGTTGCTGCTGCTTCTGATGCTACTTTGTTTGTTACTTTTTTAATGCCGAACTCATCACTATTCAAGCTATATGACGGTGGTCTCTAAATATCAAATCTGGACCAGACAATCTAGTGATTGACAACATGAGCATCGATCCACGCAATTGGGATACGACGACGACGACATCCCGTTAGTTGCCTCTTACGGCAAGCATGGGTTCCTGAAGACCCTCCACGTCTCCTGTTGCTGCTGATTCTCAAACTGCTGTGACTATCGTTCTACATCTGCTACACTTCATGTCGCTACGACGTCAGTATCGGCAACACCACTACTACCACTGTTACAACTACTATTAAAACCACTCATACTGTTACTCCTGATCCTTCTACTCCTACTACAATTACTACTACTACTACTACTGATACTATTACTACTATTACTACTATTACTATTCTGCAACCATACCACCATCTTGTTCTGCTTGTTTTGTTGTTATCTCTACAACATCACCCGTGAAAGGGGCGGTGGGGTAGCCTAGTGGTTAACGCGTTCGCTCGTCACACCGAAGACCCGGGTTCGATTCCCGACATTGGTACAATGTGTGAAGCCCATTTCTGGTGTCCCTGTATGCCACGTTGTCTATGATGAGTACAGAGTAATAAGAAAAAATAATAATAATATAATTAATAATATAATTAACACATCAGTCGAGTACAAGCACAGTGAGACATCTGGAACGCCAACATAATAAATGATAATAGACTACGAAGTTACGTTATAGTCGCCAAATATCGACAGCCTTCGTCTCGAACTTTTAATCTATATATTTGTATTGGTTTTTACCGAGTTCGTGCCCTCCTTAGAACATGATTGTAGCAATGACGTCATGGGGCTTACATAATCCTCATTGCAGCCGCGGCAACATCCACCCTGCGCCTGAGAAGCAAGCTGGATTATGAAAGCGGGGTTCGAAACATCAACGTCACTATCCAGCCGTCTAATGGTTTCTGTGCTCCAGACACCTTCTTCCTCTATGTCAAGGTCACCGACGCCAACGACCCCCCTGTCATCAGCCCTAGGGACGTGGTCACCGTTCAGTATGAAGGTCCGGTAGGTCATCTCCCAAACAACATAGTGCAGCTGCGGACAACTATATACTGAAGTCTTTGATAGGCAGTTAGAACTTGGAAGAACATGAATACATGACACTATGTAATGGGTAACAACTTCCTTTATTCTTTGCAAAGACGTTTCAGGGCTACGTATTTGCCCTTTCCAGGTGACGATGGGGAAGAACTAGCTCTGAAACGTCGTTATAAAGAATATGAAAAAGCGTATTACTAATGTATTCAAGCGATATACTGGTCCGCATTGATACAGCGACTACGAGATGCCGGATATTAAGAGCAGTACATAAAATTACCCATCAATAAATACTGAATGGTAAGTGTCGAGATAACGGCTAGTAAAAGCGGATGAAAATGAAAGCAGATTTTCATATCTGCGATTTCACTTTGGTCGTGTATTAAGTTTATTCTGAATGAATGTCAGGCTAGGTTCTGAAGCTTCTCTGTGCAGAGTTGCGCCCCTTGGACACGCCAGAAACCTATGACTGTGGGTTTGAACCCTAGTTCGCCCCGATTACGTTTCTAGGTTTGTCAGCACGATACCTGTGCTTGTGGGTTTCATCGAAGTGGTAAACTTCTAAGACCTGCATCACTTCGGGCTTTCCTCACACAATAAGCTGACACGCCGTGATAATATTGGAATACTGTTAAAAGCGGCGTTAAACCCAAATCACTCACTAACTCTCGAGCTTATCGCCCTCACTTACAGTTATTTTAGCAGTGGTACGCCGTTTTCAGACGATGAGAAACAAATTCTGCCTTCCGTGGTTGATCATGACCATGAGATTGCTTCGCCATACCCTGTTGGCACACAAGAGACATGAGATCAGTGCTCAGTTTCACAAAGCGATGGTAGCGTTATGACTGTCGAAAGTCTGTGTTCAAGTATTTGAGTTACTATCGTCTTAACGCTAAGAAACCTTTGATGATCGGGGCCCAGGTCCCTAATAAACGTCATCTAGGTGTTCCTGCCTACATCAATGCAACATTGTCATCATTAATGTCATCATCACTTATGAATGCGTGGTATTACGACTTCAGTAGGTTTCATGTCGCAGGTAATCCCATTGCAGAGCTATAGAGCAGAATAATAGAACGTTGATGTATTCAAACGTGCACATTATTAAACCATGATCAAGATCCTCCAATCCATCCCTGTAACCCATTTTTTCTCAAACAAAAGAAAAGAAACAGCATTTAAACATGTGCAGTCTTCTGATCCCCCATAGCTCCGATGTAATATAACCCATAATTCTAACGATGTCAGAATTCAGCAATATCGTCATACAATTATACTATATTAAAAATAAGTCATCAAAGGACAGTGTAATAACGGCAGTATATCATAGATTGGCTCAAATCAAGTTGAAGAACTTTTAAAATATCTGATCGATGCAGTGAAGATCCGGGGTAGAATAGGTCTTCAGCATCCCATGCTTGCCGTAAAAGGCGACTATGCTTGTCGTGAGAGGCGACGAACGGGATCGGGTGATCACGCTCGCTGACTTGGTTGATGCATGTCATCGCATGGATCGATTCTTATGATGTCAACAACTGGATTGTCTGGTCCAGACTCGATTATTTACAGACCGCCGTCAAAAAGCTTGCTGAGAGCGGCGTTAAACAACAAACAACAACAACAATGTGACAGCATCACTGGCTACATGTGTAATCGCATTTTGTAATGGTAACAATGTTATATATTTGTGTTAAAGTTTACCTACGATGCTGGCTTCACCTTCGTGGATGAAGACCCTGGCGACACTGGGACCTACAGTATCATTGGCGGTAATGCCGCCAACCTCTTCTACATCGACTCCGCCAGCGGGATTATCACCTGTCTTGACTACGACGTCGACGTTGCCGGTGCTGCTACTACAGTTGTACTTATGATTCAAGTGGAAGACGTTAAAGGTACGTAGAGGGGCATCCTCCTGTGAGACAAACACATCCTTCACGACAAAGGGGTGCACCGGTTCCAGGGTTTGCTGACCCTGGCTTCGGATCCCAGATTTGTGCCTGACCCGTGAAGATCCGAGGTAGATTAGGTCTTCAGCGACCCATGCTTGCCATAAAAGGCGACTATGCTTGTCGTGAGAGGCGACTTCGGGATCGGGTGGTCGGCTCGCTCACTTGGTGCATGTCATCGTATCCCAATTGCGTGGATCGATGCTCATGATGTTAATCACTGGATTTTCTGGTTCAGACGCGATTATTTACAGACCGTCGTCATATAGCTTGAATATTGCTGAGTGCGACGTTAAACAACAAACAAACAAACATCTAAGGCTGTGCAGAGTTGCGTCCCTTCGGCTCGCCAGAAACAGAAACGTATGATCATGGTTCGAATCCCGGTTCGCCTCGTTTTGGTTTCTAGGTTTGTCACTACCATACTTATTCTCATGGGTTTCACCAAAGTGGTAAATGTCTAAATGTCAGACCTGCATCATTTAGCAGACACGCCGTTACTGGAATACTGTTCAAAGCGGCATAAAACCCAACTAACTCACTCACTGTCATCGTTGCTTACAGACAAAGGAAAGGATAACACAACAGTGACGATCAACTTCTTGGACAAGAACGACAACCCACCTGTAATCACCGGCCCACCATCAGGTCTATACCAGGTTCAAGTGGAAGACTGTTTCCCCGCCGGCACCTACCTAACCAAAATATTTGCTGCTGATGGCGTGGACACAGCTTTCAACAATAACAACGTTGTCCAATGCAACCCAAGCACCACCGGCGTCCTTTTCGTCTTGCCTGCTTGCGACGTCATCCTCAACGGGTCAATACCGGCTGGCACAGTAGAGACCATCTACGTTACGGCTTCGGATAAAGGGACGTTTCCTGGTCCGCTGACTAGCTCTTCTGTGCCAGTACTCGTCTCCTCAATCCTCTGCACTATTACCACCACTGCAACGACAACCGTGCCGTCAACTACAACGCCTGTCCCGACGACAACAACTACCCCTGCCACAACTGTACCTGGTTTGGATGGCCTTGTACCTGCATCAGCGGTCAACGGTGACAATGGCACTGGCAATATGCCATGGATCGTCAGCGCTTGTATATTGGGGTGTATCGGAATAGCTGCCGCCGCTTTCTTCATCAGCAGATACATCGCGCCGCGCTGTAGAGGAAGTTCCTCACCAAGATTCAATGCAGGGTCAGTGCGTTCTTAAAAGTATGAACATAGCTCCCTTGAGATAACGAACTTAAAATTGCCGATAAACGTCTTTTTTCTAGTTTTATGATGTCATGTTTCCCTGTATTCTCAAAGACTGTTTTGAAAGTTGCTTTGTTTGAAATAATTTTGGATTATTATATCTTACATGTAAGTAATATAAATCACACACATATCGACAACATTTTATTTTGGGCTTGGGATCTGGGCCCACTTGCACAAAGCGATCTTAGCGCTAAGATGATCTTACCTCCCATACTTTAACATAGGGTTACAATAGTCTTAGCGCTAAGATCGTTTTGTGCAAGTGGGCCCTGATCAGTGTTTTGTTCATCAATTGTCCACGCGTTTAAAATATACCATGTTAAGTGCCTAATCCCGGAACACCTTTTTCATGTCATGTTTCTATAATTTCAAATTATATTTTAAAATGTGATATTGCTTCCATGTTACTGACTCTAATGACGGAGTTGTGGATTCTAGGGTCTTCTTGTACCAATAATGGGTTTTCGAACCCACAGCTGTCGTGGGCTTCATCTCCTCCACGATAATGCTTATCCGTCTCCGTCATCAAAGTTTTATTTTCACCAAGTGAGTGAGTGAGTCTGGTTTAACGCCGCTTTTAGCAATATTCCAGCAATATGACGGCGGGGGACGCCAGAAATGGGCTTCACACATTGTACCAATGTCGGGAATCGAAGCCGGGCCGAGCGAACGCTTTAACCACTAGGCTACCCGACCGCCCCTTATTTTCACCAAAGTAGTTAATTAATGGTATAGGGCCTGCGTGAAGTTCAGGCCGGCGGCGCAGGCTGATGCTCATAGTGTCAACCACTGGTTTGCATGTGACTAGCCACTTATTTTAAAAATGTCAAATAAAATATTACTGTGATATTCGTCGGAGGGCAGAGATTCAGATTTTGAATTGCTGTAAACAACAAGACACCGTATTCAGCATGTGTTCAGGGTACTATTATTCAAGGAGTTTATAGGTGCACGGGTGTCCTAGTCGTCTCATGCAAGATGTGAATTGATTCAAATATGTTTTCGTTCTTCAGACCATCACAAAATACGCAGCCTGGTCCTCCTGATAATAAACAAGTTCAGTTCAGAGGGTAAGAAGATTGTGGTATTTTAAGGTCTAGTTTCCTTAAAAAATATTTACGTGTTATAAAGACCAGGGGCTTCTGTTATTTTTTGTTATTTTTTTTCAAATTGATAGCACGTCGTTCGTATAATTTAACTTGGCAAGATGACGGCAAGGCAATGTAAGCTCGTTTCAAAACAACAATCTGGCACAATCTGACAATGACGTTTGAAGTATTTTCAAATGTTTCTTCTTGTTAAAATGTTAATAATATATATAATATTATTGTAGGTGTGACTTCGTACAAGTTTGTAAATGAAAATCGATGCGAATTTACCAGAATGCGCACGTTAATGTATTATTATGATATTTTGGCATTTACAGGTTGTGACATTTTGCATGCTTTTTATTTTCCGTTATAATTATACGAAAACTATATGAACTTGCATCTTCCCGAGGCAAGAGCGTCCACTTGCCTATTTATCAAAGTCTACATTCACACGTAGGCAAGTGGACGCTCTTGCCTCGGGAAGATGATCAACTTGAAGCTATCGTAAAATCTCGTGAACGGGTTTTACAAACTCATAAAGAGTTAAAGCGCATTTGAACATTTCAGCAATAACCGCCAGTCTCCCAAGAGGAACAACGTGAAGCCGGTCACACCGAGAGAAGTGTAAGTATAATATATTATACCTGGGTTCTTTGTGATCCGACACTCCACCTGCACAGGTAATCTTCCTCTTCCACGTGACGTCACATTAGTCACTAATACATGTGTTGTTGTCAGCAGCAAAACTTGGCGTGACGTCACCGTACATCGAATATTTAACATAAATCCAGTCATTCATGATCCGCACGGGGATTCCAGGTCAGAATAAATCCACAACTTCATCCCCGATATTCAAACGTGTTACATATATATTCCACTTTGTGAGCGACTAACTGGGTTTTTCAGACAGGGTGACTGGGTTGACAGCACGTTATCTTAAACTAACGGCGTGGGACTGCGCTCATAATATCAACCACCCCGTGAAGATTCCGGGGTAGAATAGGTCTTCAGCAACCCATGCTTGCCGTAAAAGGTGACAATGCTTGTCGTAAAAGGCGACTAACGGGATCGGGTGGTCAGGCTCGCTGACTTGGTTGATTCATGTCATCGATCCCAATTGCGTGGATCGATGCTCATGATATTAATCACTGGATTGTCTGGTCCAGACTCGATTATTTACAGACCATCGTCATATAGCTGGAATATTGCTGAGTGCGGCGTTAAACAACAAACCAACCAACCAACATAATATCAACCACTTGATTGCGGGTCCAGACGGTTGTTATTCACAAGTCGCTGATTAGTTACATGCCGACGTCATTAGGATGGTCTAGTGCTGTATGTGGTGTCATTCATGAACCAAAACTACTATATTAACACAGCATAATCGATAACACACACCCAAGACAAATAGAACTTTGTGATTAGACTTGTTGTTTGTTTGTTGTTTAACGCCGCACTCAGCAATATTCCAGCTATATGACGGCGGTCTGTAAATAATCGAGTGATTGACATCATGAGCATCGATCCACGCTCAGCGAGCCTGACCACCCGATCCCGTTATTCGCCTTTTACGGCAAGTATGGGTTGCTGAAGACCTATTCTATCCCGGAATCTTCACGGGTCGATTAGATTTGGCCAACTCTATGTATAACTTCCACTCTCTGTTTCCTATACAGGCAACCGTACGAGGCCTACAAGGATGGTAAGTTTAGCTTGACATTCAATTGGTGTACTTTTAGTCTGTAGTGATCGACGTATTCCATGTTTTGTAAGTGATCTGGGGTGTATAACAGGTATAGGTGTTGTAGTCGGTTTGTGGGTTATTATTTTATACTTTGAGGAGTTCTTTTCTTTGAAAAACGACACTTTGCAGTATGCAGTATGTCAATAAAAATGCGCTTTCAAATGAAGATAATGAGTGGTTTGTCAATAGAGAACACTAAATACGGACAATGCCGGGATAGTGATAAAAGCTCTGGTGCTATTCGAGAAAAAACAGAAAAAAATGTTTTAAGGTCGGATGTTCCAGATTATGGTCGTTCGGGTATCAGAAAACACACACATTTCCTTCTTGGCCCTAGAATGGGATTTAGTATTTGCTCTTAAAATTATGCATTTGGGACAACTAATGGACACAATGTATTTAACTTACCTGTCGGAAATAACATGTTATACCCATTATTACCGGGATTGTTATTGTAGCTATCGGACATTGTTTTTCACGAGCTCGGACAAGGTGCTGGCAAAGCTAGAAACGTAATCAGGGCGACTCCTGAACCATATTTTTCTGGCACGCCAAAGGGACGCAACTATGCAGAGCGAATTGCGGTTACTTTGACGACTGTGTCACTAATCTCCCCGATGTTTAACCAACTGCCCAATGTTTAACCGACAGCCATTCATCACCTAAACCTCCTCTTCTGTTTTACACAGTTGTAGAATAACCTTGGGCTGTGATATGACATTTCTGTTGTTGTTTACAGACCAGCGAGGTCCGAACCTGCAACAGAAGAACGTCTGGCGAGGGATGGGCACACAGCCAGATAAATCATTTGAACTGTAGATGTGAAACCATTGACGTGTAACTTTAATAGTGGTATAACTTAACCAGTGACTGCTGAAACATGACTCCTGCTGCGCATGTCATGCAGCCTCATAAATCAGTCACTGTACCTTGACGTTACCAGATACAATCAATGTCAAGAAAGCTGATTTGTCATGATTGTTCATATTCGTGTATGTGCAACTAGGCCTGACTCAAGAACTGAGTGTACAACAGCCATCTGTCTCCATGAAATTTATATTATATAGGATTACACATAATACACGCGAGCTCTCTAAACAGGGTATGTGTAACACTCCCCTGAAGCAGTTGTTGGTGATGATTATTATTCGCTTGGTCACTCCATGCTATATTGTACGTCTTTGTTGAGCGGCCATTTTGATATTTATACCATGTGTGTGTTTACATAAGATTGTATCATCTGTGTGCGGTTCTGTTACTTAAGACATGGTCAGTATCTGACTGTATACCCTAGTCTTTCATGATTAGGTCAGCTTTACATAAATAGACAACTCTATTAATATTATTGATGAATATATTATGGGCGTAACGATCGACCAAGCTTTCGATACATTTATCAACTGGTCAACGGCTATACATACTTGATAATTTAAAATATCATCTGTTGGCATCGATTATCAACTCTAACTTTTGTTTTTAATCAGAAAAAATATCATATTTATCCCTTTTGGTCTAAAACACTTCTGGGTGTTTCATGAAACGGCTAAACTCTAGCAATAATTAAAATGCCCCGAATATTGGCCCCTCAAATATGCATGTACTCCAGTATTATGAATCTCTTATTCCAATACTCGTTACTATATTTGCAATTATTTAATCAATATTAATCTGGATGCCCAACCCGTACTGGGATTACTGCTGGGAAGGTATGCCTATATCTACAGCCACATTACTTTGTCACTAGTAATCCTGATTTAATTGTCAATATGAACGATTTAGAACGGGACTTTCAGATTAACAGGATTTGATTTGATTTAAGTGTTTTGGTTTGTCAGTTCTTGTCATCCCTGTACAAAGTACAGGGTTCCCTCGTTATTGCACCCTTCAATATAGCGCTAACTCGGTTATAGCGCGCGGTAAAGCATGGCTCTCAATTATTTGGACCCAGAAGGTAGCGTTGTAGCGAGGGATCACTGTACTATCCATCCTCGTATCACAGTCACAGGGCACCCCAATGTCTAATTGATAAAGAAGCCTGCACTGTCTTTCAAATAACATGTTCGTTATTACATGGTAATAATTAGCTTGACCAACCAAAACTAGAGTCCATGGGACCCCAAATAATTAATTTCAAGGGTCCTTACAGGGAACATGAGGGTCATGTAAAGTAATCAAATCGTGCAGTGTGCAGTAGTGTAAGATTTGATTATTGCTTTAATTGCAGGACCTTTATTTTTCTTGTCAAGAATTAGATATTATTGTGCGTCCCTTGGGATGCAATTATTAATATATTTCATTCTGCGTCCATCCTATACATATGTGCATACTGTACGCATATTTCTGCGTTATGTAAAACCCTGTTATTATTACATTAATTATTATCATCATAATTAATATTTACTGATGCACTATTGCATTGATCAGGTGTGCTGTTCTGTTTGTTTTGAATAAACTATAATTCATTCCCGACTCTCCTTATGTAAACACTTGTGCTACCAGCGTAACAGCTTGACATCACTCTTGAGTTCGGTGAAACTTATCAAAGACATAACTTCCCCAGTCAGCAAAATGTGCAACCGGAACAGTCCAAACCAGTGGTTGATGAGGAGACCTTGATGGAATGGACTCACTTGAGTGAGTGAGTGAGTGAAGCTACGGGGGGGGGGGGGGGCATCCCTATTTTGACATGTGTTTCTTATCGCCATGATGAGCTCCAGAAGGTATGGCGTTTGCTTGTTTGTTTGTTGTCTAACGCCGCACTCAGCAATAGTCCAGCTATATGACGGCGGTCTGTAAAAAATCGAGCCTGGACCAGACAATCCAGTGATTGACATCATAAGCATCGATCCACGAAATTCGGGTACGATGTAATGCATCAACCAAGTGAGCGAGCCGGACCACCCGATCCCGTTAGTCGCCTCTTACGACAAGCATAGTCGTATGAATGACAGGAGATGATAAAGAACGTAAGAAGGCACCTTGGTTGATAACGCTGAACAAGTTGCCAGTGCAATGGTTCGCAATGTGAAGGTTTAACACAGCACTCAGCTATAGGGCCATGACAGAGGTGAGTAAAAAAAATCGAGAAAGTGAGGAATATCATGAGCAATAATCCATACTGTCAGGATACAATGACCCACCATCGACCAAGGCACAGAGTCGGACCTATCGGTCCAAGTCCCCCTTGGGACCAGCATAGCTTCAAGGGGTAATATTTTACATGGAATCTCAACAAGGCCTGAGTTCAAAACTAAATTTTGAAAATTTCCAAACTAGTACAGTGAGTGAGTGAGTATGGTTTTACGCCGCTTTTAGCAATATTCCAGCAATATCATAGCGGGGGACACCAGAAATGGGCTTCACACATATTGTACCCATGTCGGGAATCGAACACGGGTCTTTTTCGGCGTGGGGTCTTTTTCGGCGTGACGAGCGAATGCTTTAACCCCTAGGCTACCCGACCGCCCCCAAACTAGTACAGTAAACGTTGTTTTATATAACTGGAATTTGGCTAAATATTAAGTTGGATGATGTATACAATCAGGGTGCGTATATACGCAAATGGGTGCGTGTCAAATTATTTTTTTTAATTTGCATGCAGAACAATATTTAACGACAAGAAATGTGATTCTTTGTCCTTCATAATATCAATATGCAAATTGTGTATGAATCACAAATGGTGCACTGTTTTCATTCCTGCCAAAGGCACAGAAAGACAACATAACTCAACACTGTTTTGGCAAATGTGTTCACTTTAATTCAGTCATCATGTTTGTAAGTAGTGTGTACACCTGACAGCTACATGGTAACATACTGCTATCAGATAACTCTATGCTATAACAATGTATGTGTGCTATACCAGTGCTCTATATACATAACAGAGCAAGAACATTCAGGGCTGTTACACAAAAAAATCATGTCAAAATATCAAATTACCTTTTTAGAAATAACTATCTAAAACAGTTTGAAAATCTCTTGCTTCACCTGTAGATAGATGACCAAACATTGTGTGTATTAGTTTGTTTAAACTTTCCAGAAAAATGGCATCACTATAAAAATAACAATTTATTACTTTTTAAAAATAAAATTGAACCTGACTTGATTCACTGATTCTTTATAGAAAAGAAAGTGAGAAAGATCTTTAATTTGTAGCAGCTCTGAACTTTCCGCTTTTAATCTCCGCAAGTATTTCCTTGAAATTTTCTACGACAACACTGCTCGTTTATATTGCTGGTAATGCTGTATACCACACTGTCTAGACATTAGGTAGATCTAGAGCCACTGAAGTACTTACTAGAATCCACATTCCATAACAAACTTACAATGTTAACAATGATATAATCCTTTACTGTTTTGTAACTGCAGGACCTCCACATCTAAGGTTTGTGTGCCATTCATATAACTACATGAAACAGGAAGCTGCAGGAGAGAGCAACTTATCATGGCATCATACCATCATACCATCATACCATCAACACATAGCAGGGACCATCCTTTTAACTTGAAATTTTGGGTGTATATTTAGGCACACATTTATTCCCAACAAACGGAAGAATTGTTTCTGGCATCCATAATACAGAATACCTACTTTCAAAATAACTTTTTCTTTACTCCAAAATAAGTGCTCACACAAGGATAAAGTTTTTAGGAAAAGATATAATGGCTGGTCCCTCTGACACTAAATCAATATTGCTAAAATGAGTACTATGACAGCTGTAACTAAAAGTGGCTGGCATGAACAAAAACAACGACTAGGATTTCTAATATTAACATGCTGTCGTTATCACCAAATTGAAATCCATTTTTCACTTCCTGAACTTTTACAGCAAGGATCTGTGAACCTAAAAAACACAAACTAATAGCCTTGGAACAAATGTAATGTTGTGATTTCCTTATGAGCATTACTGTACTGTGAGAAGTGTGATACAGGTGTTGGTGTTCTGTGTGAACCAAGCAGCAAGTTGATTGAAGCAATGTTCCAAATGCCCAAACCAAAAGCAAAAGAAGCAAACATATTTCAATCACATATTGAAATCAAAATATTTACAAATGATGTATACATAATAAAAGTAAAACTGAAGCATTTCTAATTGAATCGCATCAAACAATAATCAAATACATTTTTGCATTTTACATGCATAAAACATCTGTATATTTGTCATGCATCAACAATAGACATAGAATATTATTTGGTATGCTGGGACGTCCTTAGTATGTTTATTCATATTTCAAGACGAGAAAAATAATCAACTTGGCCACAACAAATAAAGTCTGTTCTTTACAATGTCTTCAAAAATTAGGATCGGGATGTAATTTGCATAAATGATAAATTGATCTCTTTGAAGAATTAAAAATTTCTGGTTGTATACAGATTCCACAATTAGTTCTTGTTGCATCTTAAAATAGGGTTGTTAGAAAACTGTCTGTAACAACATAATAAATATGTTGAAATTAGGGTGGCACAATGTTACAGGATATCAATCATGAAACCTTGAAACTTCAGTAAAAGAAGATAAAGGCTTAAGAACTCCCGTACATACTGTCAGAAAATAGTTTTTCACAGTTCATTTTCCCAACATAACACCAGTCTTCCTTCTATGTACATGTATCCAAACATGACATCACGATACAATATTCACATCATAGTACAGTATCGCAGTATTTGGAAATCCAGAAATGAGCTTTTTAATGAATTAATAACTTGTGGCCTTATGGACTGTTCAAGTTTTTTATCGGACGTAATAGAATCTATCTTTAGGCTGAATTTGCTTTATAAGAAACCATTACAGGTTGCAAAAACATATCAATTAGATTCCATGTAGAAAAATCTTTTTACTGAGTACTGTCTGAACATGGCCAATTCATGCATTGAGGTTACAGTCAGTGTGTGTGTCATAATTGACTGTGTCTATTGATATATTGGGTATGCTTTTTTTCCCCTCTATTCAAGTTTTCTTGAAACACTGCCTTGCTGGGACTTGTTATACAGTTTCTTCATAACCGTATCAGCTCTTGTATGATGTCAGTGTTGAGGACGTGAAGCAAACTCACCAGGTCATTCCTTATGCATTTTATTTTGTATTACTTGGTCATGTGAAAAAACATTATTCAAGTTTAAATCTTCTTTTGTTACAACCAAAAAACGTAAACAAAAAATGTTTCACAGCCGGATCCAGTAATGCCATACTTGCTCAATAATGTATATGTTTGCTCACAGCGATGTAGCAACAAAACACAACCTATAGCTGTCCTCCACAGTGTGTTTTTCCAACACAAATGTCATAAAACACAACATTCCTGTCACATTTGTCACAAAAACTCCAAAAGAAAACTGAGAATTTGAAATCTTAGTTGTGTTTATCATCCTTCCAACCCAATTTTTAACCCAAAAATCAAAAACAAATTTGAAGGATCCAAAATATTTTTCAACATTCAAACAAATTTTGAACAAAATCAAATGAGAAAAGTGACAAAATACACTGTCTTTGAAAGAATTAAATCAAAACAACAACTATATCTTACTTATCTTTGTATACAAGAGCGTATAGGCTTAGCACCTGGATAGTACGCTGTTCCTTGATTATCAATTCTGTCCTATCAATATTTAAAGGATCTATCTGTCCTGTTAACAATGGTGAAACTGTGTAACAAGTCTCCATCTATCTGATCAGTCACACTGACCTGTAGCAAGGACAGTGTCAACCGAACCTGCACATAGGGCTAAGGATGTGGCAATTAACTGAGTTCCGTTAGATATTCTGTTAGTGAAAATACATGACTTCAGATGAATCCAGGATTTTAACAAGAGGTGCGGGTGCTGTCACCATTTGAACAGTCTGATATTATTCATACCAATATTTCAAAATTTTCCAACATTTCAACTGATGCCAAAACAGGTCTTATCCTAACTCGTCCAGTTGCAAGAAGTGAAAAGCCTTATATCCAGAGTTGACAGCATTTCCAAAGAATACTAAAAGCTTTGCCCAAAATGGCACAATTTCCTTAAAAGCATAAGAAATTGTACATGACATTCAGTGAAACTTGGAAGATAAGAAAGTAACACACAGATATTTTGATTCTGAAATGGATATAACATGCATACCCCAATCATAAACTTTCAAACTTGCTAATTGTTAAGCAGAATTAATTTGGACATTTCTGGCAATCAATTAGATAGATCATATATTTATTCATTCTTTCATTAACAATGGTAAGGGCTAAGCTTGCTATCATACTTACCCGGACTCTGGCAGAGACGGTGACTAGAACAGGTTGTCTGGCAGTTGGAAATATACAAGTACGGTAACATGCAACATCTTATGTCTTAATCTGTGAACCTTTCCATAGGAATCAGCAAACTGTTCACTCTGTATTTCAAACAATTCTTTATATCTGTGAAGCCAGATACAGTATAATTTCTTGTATTACAGTAATGCCTACATCAAATTCATGAATATAAGGAAACATTCTTTAAAAATGTCAAAAATGTTTTCAGAAAAGTGATAAAATAAACGTTTCTATCTTAATCTTGTCTCCTGCCTCTTGGAACATTGACCAAGAAAACTGTGATTAAAGAGCAATAAAGAAATTACATCTTGCCTCAAAACATTTAATTTAAAAAAAATAAATCTGAAAAATAGCAGAGAAGAATGATATAACATGTTCATTACTACTGACTAAATTGGTGTATCAAGATAGACAATTGACTGAAAGTACGACAGTCACATGTTCTCCATTTGAAAAACATTCAGTACATAATACTTTGTGGTTGAATAAATCTGAGTATGATTTTCTTTTTCACATACTGCGGTATTAACTTGAATCAAAGACAATGTATTTGCATATGAAAATCAAAATTCACAGACAAAAGATGAAAGGAATGTAAGAGAAATGTAAGTTGAAACACAATGGAAGATACATTTGTCCACACATCACTGAAGAATTCTAACCATGACACTAGAAAAAACAAATCATCAAGATTACAGAGATGCCACTTTTTGTTACAAAAAAATATGGAGTACTGAAATTTTAGACATATCTATAATAAAAGTAGTTTTGTTTGTGACACATTTTAAGATGATATGGATTGATGTTAGGAGCTTAAAAAGTTGCTTTTCTCACCACTATAGCAATGCTTACAAGCACTGCACATGGATGCAACACTATACATGCTATATACAAACAGCACTTGGTTCTACGGGTGAACATTCACAAGACTCTCACATATATATACACAGCTACAGGCCACTAAATACACATCTGGTTGATACTGTTCTGAACTGTGAGTATTTTATAGTTTGTGAGCTCTAGTTTTGAGTTTAGTTTGTCAATACAACATAATATGTCAGTTCAAATTCGCATCCTTCATCAAATTGTAGTTTCTGTCTTATCCTACTTTATAAAGCAGTGGCGATCTGAGAAATTGTTTTCTTGTTATCCCTTAAGCTGGCGATTGAATATTTCAGTATCACCAACAAGACTGATTAAAACTGAATAAAGTATCAAAGAAGCCCAGTCAAGATTATAGAGAAATAAATTCGCAGTGAAACCTTGATAGCATGAAATATTTATTATTATCTACATTAGTTTGAGTTGTCCATAGTTTGATACAAGCAGAACTCTTGTGCTGTTTCAGTGACAAAACAGATTCTTCTTGGATCACAAGTAATAGTTCTAAACAATAATAACGGGAACTGAGTTCGAAATTAATGTGGTCTCACAGAATCCAATCCGAGATCACTTGGGTTGATATTACAAGACATTATTTTCCTTTTTAGGGTTGACTTAACAGTTATTTGAAGAACATATTACTGAGAACCTGTTGAGCACAACACCATCATTTCAGGAAAGTACCAACCCTTGCAGCTTAGCTATTGCCTATGTAAATAACACTGATATAACAGCAACAACAATATGTATAAAATCCTTCTAGCAACAATGACACATCTAACAGTAGCGTTGTGCCTCTAGTGGAACAGATCATGTACATGTACAATATACACCAACATCTAGCACTAACAGTTGCAACAACTAGCTCCTCTATCACAAACTGTGACACAATGCATGTTTATCATAGAAACATGCCTGTCATTTTTGTACTGGTTGTACTTAACAAGCTGGTTGGCAGGCATGACTGATGCAACAAATCTACATCTAAAACTGTTGCCCTTTCTTGAACAATGAACGTCTATACACCTGGGTGTACCCCGATAACCGACACATTGCTGACTACTACAATACACTTGGTTGCCAAGTCATCACATGTTAACGGGTTGGGACATTGCATGTGTCTGATGTGGTGAGCTTCATTGTCCAAGGATGTAAACTCTCTGCATGTCCAACACTGTTAAATTGAATATCCAAGGATGCTAACTGCATTAATCTTCAAGAATGGTAATTTGCATGACCAAGGACGTGAACCACATGCATGTCCAAGGATGTTAACCGCATGCATGTCCAAGAATGTTAACAAAATGCATGACCAAGGATATTAACCACATGCATGTCCAAGAATGTTAACAAAATGCATGACCAAGGATGTTAACCACATGCATGTCCAAGAATGTTAACAAAATGCATGTCCAAGGATATTAACCACATGCATGTCCAAGGATGTTAACAAAATGCATGACCAAGGATGTTAACCGCATGCATGTCCAAGAATGTTAACAAAATGCATGTCCAAGAATGTTAACAAAATGCATGTCCAAGGATATTAACCACATGCATGTCAAAGGATGTTAACAAAATGCATGACCAAGGATGTTAACCGCATGCATGTCCAAGAATGTTAACAAAATGCATGTCCAAGAATGTTAACAAAATGCATGTCCAAGGATATTAACCGCATGCATGTCCAAGAATGTTAACAAAATGCATGTCCAAGGATATTAACCACATGCATGTCCAAGGATGTTAACAAAATGCATGACCAAGGATGTAAACCGCATGCATGTCCAAGAATGTTAACAAAATGCATGTCCAAGGATATTAACCGCATGCATGTCCAAGGATGTTTACAAAATGCATGTCCAAGGATATTAACAAAATGCATGTCCAAGGTCAAATAGAATGCATGTCCAAGGTCATAAACAGAATGCATGTCCAAAGATGTTACCCACATGCATGTCCAAGGTCAAACAGAATGCATGTCCAAGGTCAAACAGAATGCATGTCCAAGGTCGAGAACAGATTGCATGCCCAAGGTCATAAACAGAATGCATGTCCAAGGTCGTAAACAGTATGCATGTCCAAGGATGTAAACAGTATTCATTTCCAAGACCTGATACAATCATTAGCTATCACAACATATCAGCTATTATTAGCAGTTCACAAGTCAACTGATGTTAACAGGTCATGTCTATTGATGTTTAAAGTCTTCAAATCTAAATTCATTGCACATGAGATGAACTCCAAATGTCCTGGGTTGTTGTTCAGATGTCCAAGGGCACTAAGAAGCCAGATGTTGATGGTGCTAATGATAACGGTCAGAGAAATAAGACCACTGAACTCACAACATAAACCTGTCAACATCTTGAAGCAATCTGACATGCAGTATGACGACATACGTTGTACATTTCAGCTGTCGACAGCGGTCAACGTCCATAGTGTTCTAAATGACACTGGCATGCTTATAGGTATGGGTTCACAAGTGTCAGAACCAAAAGTGCAAACACCTCAATAGAATATAAGGAAATCATGACGGCAGAACTTGAAAACAATGGCTGAAAATAAAGTAAAGGATAATATTTGTGCTTAAGTGTGACCAATAATAAATTGCATTTTAACTGCACAACTGTTTGTAAACTGCCACAAAAAAAACATTTAATAGGGACGTCTATTTCAGCTATGTGTAGACATTGACACTGATATTGCCATTGATCTATATATCAGGGGTATGTGAAATACACACCTGTCACCTATCATACTAAACAACATGCACACTGCGTTAATTTCACTGCACTGACCTCCTGCATGTCAGACAAGCCCCTGTCATATCCCACTACAGTGATGAAACAGCCACACCATGTTCATTTCAAGCTAGTCCATCTTTCACAGACTATGACATGTGTGTATGTGAAATATACACCCAACACCACCTATACAATAGTGCAAGTGCCTGGTGATTCATCATGAAATGTGTATATCCACAGTAATACTTTCACAAACAAAGAGTGCAAATACTCTCCAAGTCCTTTGATGTCCTATCATCAAAACACTTCCACATGAAATCTACACCTTACTGACATATGTCAATCAACATTGCACTGTCTCTGGCATCCCTAACACATCCAGTGTCGAGTCCTCAGTATTGCACCAACCACACTCCTGGAATCAGTGAAGCGACCTGCTCTTCTGTCATGTTGGCAAACAGCTGATGGTGACCACTGACGCTATCAACTGGCATCTGAACTGATGCTCCACGAAATTGACAAGCCAATGTTATCTTTCATTTCTGAAAAGATATTATTAAAACTCATAAATTGACAAATATGTCAGATATGCATAATAAATCCATTCATGATAATGAAGCTGTTTTTTCATTACATTTTTTCTGGAAAAGATATATATAAGGCTTAAAAAAATAAAAGAATGTTTTTGAAAATATAGTGCGTGTACACGGTGTCCCTTTGTTTTTGGGGGGGGGTTGTTCAAACTAGTATGTAACCTATAAACAGTTGTGTAATCAATAAAACAATTGTGTACAATCAACCTGGGAAAGGGCCTCCCTACATAAATGTATTCCTTGATGAGTAAAATACTGGAATACAAGTTGGACTTTTAACATATTTTTATAAAAAATTTAAATAAAAACAAGACGTGCGGTGAACTTTATGATGATGCGGGCAGGGCCTGAGAACCAAGACTATTTCTTTTTATAGGCTAAATATAAATTAAAACATATACAACCTTATTTATTACAGTGAATACTGTAGCAGTTGTTTTCAAAAATTCCCCCCAACCCCCCTCCAAAACATATTGACAATGAAATACTGGTATTAATGCTGGTTGTACATTATGAACATTACTGGCTTGTTTTATGCAAATTAATGAAAACTGCTAATTAGAGGGGTAAGGAAATGTACCAAAATAATATATGAGTTAACATTATACGTTTCCTTTCATCAAATATAAACAGCTGCTTGTTGTGTTTACCCTCAAACAAATGCCCACGCTTCCAGTCCCTTCAGTACAAAATCCTCCCTGTCTGTGAGTACATCATTATCAAACGTATCACAGCGATGTGAGCGACCATGGTATAAGTCTCCATCAAGCCACAATCCAAATTGACCTCTGAAACAAAGTACAGTAGTTGATTAATGCCTGTTCCTTTTGAAAGGGAGGTTACTTTGTATAACAAGCACATTACCTCCCTTTCATTCCCATGCCTCAACCTCCTTCCCATCATGTGACACCTTCGTTACCTCCCAGTAGGGCTGGGACAAGACCAAATTTACTACCCGGATACTCACCCCGCTATTACCCAACCCTACCCGGGTACCCGCTGTAGGTCTCAAGAGTTTGGTACAAAATGTCCAGTTAGAAATAGTTTGAGCGTAACCCTGGTAAAATGTATTTAAATATATGTATAAAACGATCTGGTCATGCATGCACTGAAGTTGACTGAAGTGTTATATTTATTCAAACCTATAAAGGTCAGAAGCAATGGTGCTAAGTCAGAAAGAAATGCGAACATTAGTGACTTGTACTGTAACCATAGAGTTCTAGATATATTTAATCATTAAACAATATATCACATGACTAACCATGCGTCCGGGTAGTCCTGTGGGTACGCAGGTCCTACTCAGTACCCAGCCAACCCGAGTACCCGCGTTACCCATCCCAGCCCTACCTCCCAGTATCATTGCTGCTGGCAGTGTGCTAGAGGCCATTACAAAAATCTTGAAATTTCACCTCTAATCCTAAATGTGCTGACATTTATATCTCCATGTCTCTATGGGAATGCTATCACAGTGAATTGGATAAAAGAGTACGACTGATTTACATATCCCAGATGAATGTACCTTTGTTTGTTTAATCAGATCGGCTTTACACATAATACCTTGGAAGAATCAAACACAGGTCTGACATAGTTGGCAAACACATTAACCATTAAGTACTCCCATCTCATTTTTTTCAGGGGCCATTAACCTGAGGGCTCTGAAGCTGAAGTACTGCATACATAAATATATCGCTTTCATGGAAAAGCATCACAGACATTTAAATATGAATTAACATCACTGAAATACTCATGTAAGGTAGGGCTTGCTTTTTATGCTGAATATCTTGGGCATTCAAGCAAATCCAAACACATGAAATAATATATAATGAACAATAAAAGTTAGGGGTCACAAATATTTTTGGGGATATCTTTTATGAACTCTGCTCTGTCTTCACTACAAAAACATATCCCTCAAAATATTCGTTATCCCTAACCTTTTTCTTCAGAAAGTGAAATGTGGACCCAACTGTTTGAGGCTAAGTACTCACTGCCCTGATCCAATAGCCAGACTCTCCTTGTTGCCTTTAATGAAGAAGTTGTTCTCTCCAGTCCAGTGGAACACCTGGAAAATAGCCCAGGCCATGTGACTTTCTAACTACACAAGAGTTTGCCACTAACGTGGCTATATCCCCCGCCCCTGTTGAAGAATTTATGACATAATTAAATCTAAACAAACCCTAACCTTTTTTAACCGAGGTGGAACTTGTCATGGAAATTGTAAAAAAAGATGAGTTTGGAACCTCAGTCCATCTTGTTGCCATGGAAACGTAAAAAATAAAAATTTCTAAAATTTCTAAATAGCAAAAGGCACCAGTTCAGCATGTACCTGACAGAACTGCAAAGTTTGATGAAAAAATATTGAACGGTTTATGAGTTATGCTCCGGAAACGAAACGTGACGTTGGGCGGGGGATAATAAGCCTGGATGATCACATTCATATTATAACCAGTTAGGCACAAAACTGAAAAAGGTATAAGTTGGAGCCTCAGTGGGGATTCCAGGTAAAGAATATAGGCAGGATCCCAGCAACTTATGCTTGTCATAACAGGCAACAAATGGATTGGGTGGTCAGGCTCTTTGACTTGGATGACTGATTGTCATGGTATCTTAATTGTGTCTGTCGATGTTCAAGATGTCAATTACTGACTTGTAAGGTCCAGTTGATTACTGTCAGATGTCTAATAGCTGGAATATTGCCATGTGTGGCAAACAAACAAATGTACCGGTACGGTATTAAAACATGGACTGTTAGAAGTTAAGTTAATTACAACTAGAAAGTGTTTTTACTTGTAAAAACATATGTCTCCCCCCACTCCCCTAACCCCCATTCATTCGTTTACTTCACGTTAAACCCCATCTCTTCATTCCCACCCTCCATTACTAAATAACAGAGACAAAAATAGAACTCCTAGAAATTTCAAACAACTAATGGGCACCACTTCAGTGCTGGGTTAATGTGTATACAAAGTTTCGCGAAAAAATATTAAACGGTTTCTGAGTTATGGTCAGGAAACAAAGCTTACCCCCATTCAGAGCCTATGTTCAACTTATCTCCATGGAAACGAGAAAAAATAAAAATGTCAAAAATCTCTAAATAGCAAAAGGCACCACTTCAGTGCTGGGTTAATGTGTAAACAAAGTTTCGCGAAAAAATATTAAACGGTTTCTGAGTTATGGTCCGGAAACGGTGGGAACGCCGACACCGACGCCGACGGGAACCGTGCCAAAACCAATATGTCTCCCTCCATTCTGGGGGAGACTAAATGAAATGGAACTCAGTTAGGCTTCTGACTAGAGGCAAAAGTCATATACAGCCTTCATTAACTAACTGTAGAATTTGTCTCAAAATTGTACACTATAGCGGCAATTACATATGTGATAATCATGTTTATGTTTATCATAGTCTATGCTATAAACTTAATATATTCTTTATCTTATACCTCCATGAATTCTCACCTTAAATTCAGGATAGAATGTATACAGAAAACTCTCGCCTGTGCCATAAAAATGATCACTCAGCTTAAAAGCACAATTTGTCACAGCTCCAAAAACCTGAAAATATAAACAATTGTTTTGGACAACATCTTAACTGTTTACATGCTCAGAAATCTGGACTATTGACTTAATCTAACATTGATAGATTTAGCATATTTTTTCAAAGGTTCAACCACTGATAGAAAGATAGATAGCATTTAGTCAAAGCTGAACAGACAATTTCAGACATGACAAAAACGTTCATAGAGAGAACAAGCAGTGTCCTCAACGCTAGTACATGTGAGTGTATGTGAGAACACTAGCACATGACCTAGCAGTTCATTTTCAGCTTCATCAATGTGCCATCGCAGAGTTCATGATTAACCAAAAAGAGCAGGACATTACAGTTGTCTTGCTTAAACTGTCCTGCTGTCCTCAGACTCATTATAAGAAGTGGTGATAATATAATAGGGAGAGCTTACATTGTTGCTGGTGTCGGCCACGACCAGGAGTATGGGGCTGTCCACCTGACACATGTCTCGGTACAGGGTCTTCAGGCTGAAGCCGTGCAGATCTGTGCTGTAGATGAGATTCCAGGTGTACCCGATGGTGCGAGCAGGCATGTTCTGGGACAGCTGCAAGGACACAGGGAAATGTTAGCTCAGTGTGAGCTCAGTGTTTGCTTACTTCTAGCTCAGGTAAATGTTAGCTCACTTCTAGCTCAGGTAAATGTTAGCTCACTTCTAGCTCAGGTAAATGTTGGCTCAGTGTGAACTCGGTGTTTGCTTACTTCTAGCTCAGGTAAATGTTAGCTCAGCGTTAGCTCAGGTAAATGTTAGCTCACTTCCAGCTCAAGTAATAGTAAGCTCACTTCTACCTCAGGTAAATGTCAGCTCAGTGTTAACTCAGGTAAATGTTGGCTCAGTGTGATCTCGGTGTTTGCTTACTTCTAGCTCAGGTAAATGTTAGCTCAGCGTTAGCTCAGGTAAATGTTAGCTCACTTCCAGCTCAAGTAATAGTAAGCTCACTTCTACCTCAGGTAAATGTCAGCTCAGTGTTAACTCGGTGTTTGCTTACTTCCAGCTCAAGTAATAGTAAGCTCACTTCCTGCTCAGCTAAATGTTAGCTCAGCGTTAGCTCAGGTAAATGTTTTCTCAGTGTTAGCTCAGGTAAATGTTGGCTTGGTGATAGCTCAGGTAAATGTTAGCTCAGTGTTAGCTCTGATAAACGTTAGTTCAGTGTTAGCTCAGTTAAATGTTAGCTCAGTGTTAGTTCTGATAAATGTCAGTTCAGTGTTAGCTCTGGTATAATGATAGCTCGGTGTTGGCTTGGGTAAATGTCAATTGACTACTGCTTGCCCAGGTAAGTCATGGCTCAGAGTTAACTCATGCTAATATCAACTCAGGGATTTTTTAACCAGGAAATTTGCAAAATCAAACAAATTCTAAATTATTTGTAACCACAGGTCATGAAAGGGTCAAATATATAAATACACAAAACATTCAAGACATTTTTTTACACCATAAAGAAATACACTATGCTAAATTACACAAACTGATTCAGGTAAGGTAACATTGAACACATATAGGACTTTTACAGACTTTATTAAATTTCTGCTACAATGTATTTTGCTATACTCTGCTGTTGAACATAAATCTCAATGACAAACAGTAACGTGAAAGCACTTTGACCTTTCTTGATCTCACCTAATGACCTTCACCCTTAGGAGATTACAGCCAAGATTAAATAAGTCACTAAGTAATTGACGAACAGTTGTTTTAAGAAAAATATTTTGTTTAATAGCCTAATAACATTAGAACAGAATAGCGCAAAGTCTCTTTATAACCGATGTCGAAATCTAGACATTGACAACTGTTATACACTGTCATGGGACATTCCTGTTTCAGGGCCATGCTGGTAGACCTAACTGCCATATACCTCCTTCCCCGGGGGCCTTAACATTCAGCAGTTATGAGATTATGGGGCACATTACTCAATGCTTCTGGACAATGAGTACACCTGGTTTCAGGTCACTGATTCTAGCAACACAACAGATATATCAGAACACAATGCTGTCATAATATAAATTGCATATCTACCTCAATAAGTTGTTCCTCTGACAGCAACTTGGATTCCCCAATCATCTCTGGCAGTTGGAGGGTCTCCTCTATATCCACAGTTGACATGCGCCGAATGGCTTCCTCCTTGCTGATGATCTGCAACATCCATCATTGTGTCACATCTGACAATCAAACCTCCCACTACCTGCTACACAGTAGGATTTCAACAGTGTCGGACACTTACAACAATCAGTCGATAGTTCAAAGAACAGCAGAGAAGAAAAAGCAATATCCAAGCATGGACACAGCTATTTGGTAGGAATGGGGTGCATTTTTATTTTATAATTTGTGTTGGGATGTTGTGTAATTTGTTGAATCATCAGGGTCTTACAAGACACAGAAATGTGCATCCAGTATGCACAAATGTGTAGAAGAGTCGTAGAAAAAAAGATATTGCATCCCGAAGGGTGTACAACAATGCTTCTTTGTATCAAATTCATAAGAAATAAAAAGGTCCTGTAATTAAAGAATTATCAAATCTCATCAACCACCAGTTGTCATCCTATTGTTCTCCAGTCGGGATTTCTCATACACAGGGATGTGAGAATATCCCACAGACTTTAATATAATATCCCAGGGATTTCATATAATATCTTGGGTTTTTTATTAACACAACTTCCGTTTATACTGTAACATATGAATGTTAATGACACCTTAACCTGACCACAGTTTAGTTGTGTGGAAGATGTTCACAGATTTGAACCCATGACCAGCCACACCACTGTGCCACCCTGTCTCCAATATGTATGTAAAGTTTCTGGGCTAACATTTTTGCCTGTGGCAGCCACCACCAGAGGAAACTAAGCAACGGACTTATTTACACCATGGCATGGGCAGGGATATGAATTATGATGAAATATCATATACAATGAATATACAATGGTTATGGTTCATTTGCGAGTCTTTACCTCCCAGTCCTTGCGGATCTTCTGAATACTGGCAAAGTGTTCATCTACAATCTCCAACTGTTCTTCTTTCAGCTGATCGTCATCACTGATGACAACAAAGCCACGTGTCTCTGGATCAATGTCATCTTCATCTCCGTAGATTTCAGGGGTCCATTGGACGAAGAAAGCATACAGCTGGTCCACTCTAGAGACAAACACGTCAACAGTTACATTCATTTTTATGTCAAACTTTTAAAACTAAAAATTCGGCCTCAAGACCATGGAGAAATAACTATTCCCATAAATGGACACTGTTACTTGCAATTCAGGAAATACAGTCGTCTAAAACACGACATAATTAAACAATTATTTACGGCTCTGTTTGTTATTTACCACATGCTAACCATCAACAGATGTTACAGAATTTACGCCCTCTTAGTTAACTGTATCTGTAGCCATATCTACAAACAAAAATTTTTATCTCACAACTGAACTGAAGCATCACAAGGTCTCATGATTTATATGGACATTTTAAAACAAAGACATACTCATCATTTGATTTAAATACGAATGGACAATGCAAGAATATCAAACAAAATTAATCACTTTCAGACATATATTACATGTACACCATAATACATGATTTTGAAGTTACCAATAAAATTTCGACTTACAATGCAGAAATATTTCAGTATAGACATGCCCCCTCCTAAAGGTATGCGTTAACAAGCGTGTTCAACTTAGGTCATGAAAATACAAGGTGTGAGACATGATATACTCATGTGCAACTTTCCCCTGTAGTCGAGTCATGTCAGCATGTGTGTTTGAAGGCCAATTACCATACAGACAGCATTTTCACTAAGTCTCCTGCCCAAGTTCTGTAAGGCTTCTTTGAATGACCTTCTGGTGTACCTGTGACTGCAGTGATGTTATGTATTATAATGATGTGTTGTATAACTATTTGGTATAACTGTGTTATGGTGTGTCACCAGCTGTTGGTCATGATTGACAGCTTGTCAGCTCTCTTGTCAATAACAGGTCCATATAACCGTTCCCTGATCCACTTCTTCAAAAGGAGTTGACAATCATTACAAATTTACATCTTTTCACACGTAACCACCAGAACTTAGAACAATTTGCTTCCATCATCTTTTTTTTTCCACAAATGCACCAATGTTGAGGAATCATACTCAGATCAATCCCATTAAAATCAGAACTGAGGACATTCCATTACAGGTCAAGTCAGATGGCCTCTGCAACCTTTGATCAATGAAATGACCAACAGAAAGACAACATTACTTAATCAGAATGCAGCTTTCTCGAGCTTAACGGCATGTCAGAACGGCAACTTCCATTCCAGACTATGCTTTGAAAAATATTTTGATTCAAATTTTGAAAACTGGACAAAAGATGATGACGGAGTAAGCACATACTCCGAAACGTTGTGTTCCTCATAATAAAGAAGTTGCCATCCATATATTCTTTTCCTTATGGACAAAAGAAATTCTGGAATATCTATTAAATGGCCGCGATTGTATGGCAGTTCTTTCCATGGTCTATATTAAGTTTCTTCTGTCTCTTCAAATGTTTATCCCATTAAAGCCTGTAACTGTCGTCCAGAATGCCCCATGTTAACCAATCCAAGGTTGCATGCATAGAAAACACATTCAGACATTTACTTTCGCGATCTCATAAGTGATGCTCTGATTGGTCGGAGGATAGATAGTTCTGACAGGTTGGTTGGTTGGTTGGTTGGTTGTTTATTGCCGCACTCAGCAATATTCCAGCTATATGACGGCGGTCTGTAAATAATTGAGTCTGGACCAGACTATCCAGTGATTGACATCAAGAGCATCGATCCACGCAATCGGGATTGATGACATGCATCAACCAAGTCAGCGAGCCTGACCACCCGATCCCGTTAGTCGCCTCTACAAGCGTCAATTATGTACTTATCTTTTAATCCAATTGTCATGGTAATCTTTATTGACAAGAAAAAACATCCTGAGTGGACACGATTTAAAACATGGCGGCACTTCTTGGTTACATCAAAAAATGCCAATTAAAGTCAGATTACAGGAATAAAAGCGGCTTGGCGCAAATATCCAAGCTTTGAGGTAAGTGGACAGGCTAAATAGTGATTGCTGCATTGCCTAATAATGTACATGAACACTGTACATTATTTGTCACAATTGTTATTGATCATTGTTGGTGAAATACATTAAAATTTGTCATCAAATACATGTGTTGGGCTCTTTGAATTTCTTGTGTATGCCATCGTATTGCTGTGTACCTAGATGCTGTTACTTGATGTGTTTGGGTGTTCATGCCTCGTTATCTAGAATGTCCGAATATCTCAAACTTATGACATTCTCGCTAGGTTTGAGATAATGGGGTTCAACTGTTTGTTGAGACCTACTACTAACGACATGTACAAAATTTGACCAATTATTGCTGAGTAATTGCCACAAAATGCCTGTTCAATATGGCTGTCATGGTGGCCATATTGAAACTAGGATTCAAACCTTTTGAACAAATTGAGGTGTCATCATTGGTGGGAATAATTTCAGCTTCATTGGTCAGGTGGTTTCGCATGACAGATGACTTAAGCTTAAGTGGTGAGGTGAGGTGAAATGGGGTTTAACGTCACATCCATATTATTGCACTTATATAGCGACATGCATACGTGTATGTGTGGCTGCTTGTACTAGTCTGGACTAACGCAGATTCATAGTGCTAGCTCACTGAGATAAAATGCCGCAGTTTAACATGAATACCCCTCTCAGACACAGTATACTGACTCCGGGCCGACCAGTCCTTGTTTTAGCCCCTTCATGCCGAGCGCCAGACAGGGTAACAACAAGTACCATTTTTTTTACGTCTTTTGGTATGACATGGCCGGGAATCGAACCCCGGGCCTTCCGCACTCCCGGCCGACGCTCTACCACTAGACCACTGAGGTGGTCTGATGACAGAAGACGGAAAACAGGCCATGACATAAGCTTACTGGACATTCAGTCAGGCGGGTGAAGGATTGGTTACCAGGAACAGAGATACAGGTCAGTCCCATGACACAGTAGATTAACGGCTAGAATATTGATGAGACCTTAACAAACAAACCAACACACAAACAGTAGATCAATGTATGTATGCACAGACTCACTTGTCTCTGGGGATGGAGAACCAGTATTCCGGCTTCTTCTTGGTGGCCCTGTAGGACTCGATGGGGCAGGTCTGGGACACCTCCTTGTTCTTGGGGTGCCCCACCCGCAGGCAGAGGTAAAGTGGGGGGTCCTCAGACCGAGCAGCGGGCCGGGCAATCAGCTCTGTCAGAGGAAAATCCTTGTTATTTACTGCTTGAACGTAGCCATTAACTTTGACAATCGTTAATAAATTATCCATTATTGTTACTCACAATCAAAAGAAACAATCCTATTACATTTATATCAAAGAGGTAGGGAGGTACATCAAATCTTCTCTCCTTGTCTGTTAATTCAAATATATACACTTCAAAACCTCTTCCTGTTATCCCCAGGCAACAATACATTATTTGCATATCTCATAATAAAAAATCTGATTTAATATTCAACCTATATCCTGCAACATATATAAGTGTCAAATGGTGTGAGTCATCAAGAAGTAGAATGCTTGCAGCACATCTCACTGAAAGCATGAGACAGGTGGATTTTAAGCAAAATGTGCATGGAAGTTTATAAAACGGCTGAGATCCTGACGACCACTGGTGTGCTAAGCAAGAGAAATCAATCATGTAACAGCTTGTATACAACAATAAAACCATGCACACTTAGGGTCATCATGAAAACCAATCTTGGTGAAACAGACACATTAAGAGATTCCTGCACAAGTTGTCATACTGAATCATGCACTGTACTTCCATGCAAATTCAAAGACTTGATTTTTCTCATTGTCTGTAATATCTGTAACAAATGTATGTTCTATAAGAAACCAGTCTTCATAGTTTAATTAACTATTTTTTTATACCATGATTTGGAGCAAAAAATAAATGACATCACAATGTACATATATGTATGTATAGCATATGTTATGAATAATGTTTATTACTTATCAGGCGCATTGTGTGCAGACAATTCTACATTAGCATATAAACCTACTGTAACTCAAATTTACATCTACAAATGTCTTTGAATCTCAAATCAGGTGGTGAAGGCGACACATTTCATTGTGTTTTGACATCCTCCAAACAATACGGAATAGGTTCTGATTTACCAATCAGGATCTTGTGGCTATCTCCACAATCAAGTTGATCGACACACAGCAAGACAGTTCCAAACTTGAATACATTCATCCCTGATTTAAATACCTCAATGAAATAGTTAACATGGCTATTGACATGGCATAGAAAAATATATGGTCTACCCTCTATCTCCTTAAAACAAATCAGCCTTATCTGTTGCATTCTCTAGACCACCTAACTCAGGATGATTAACCAACGTTAGAGGTAATGGATCATGGAAGGTGACGTGATCAGAAACTTGAAGCATTTAAGGAATAATGTGTGTGAAGATATAATCAGATTACCGTATTCAACATAGTAAGCGCTCTGCTCTAATAAGAGCCCACGGTGATATTTGATAATATACTGACTGGTGAACAATCCCAATTAGCACCCCTTCCGATTGATCAGTGTACACAAGACTTATTTATTCATGCATAATACTCACTCATATGTTATATGCACCATTAATTATGGACATTTAAATTCTGGAAAATATACATGTCGTGTAAAATACTTTTCTTTTGTATCATATGAGGCTATCAGCATAAACCACAATATTACCGATCTTTCAGCTGGTTTTTTTCTTACCAAAACTATATTCTAATCAGAGCCCCCTTTTTTCTAATTTTGAGAGCCCCCTGGGCGCTTATTACGTCGAATACGGTAATAGGCAATATATAAAGGGAAAAGTAAAAAGTAAAGTTTTTGTGATACAACTCTTTCATAGTTTTAGTTACAAATTTGATGAAATCTTCAAACCTAATCAACCAAGTTATTATTATTTATCACTGGCACTACATGCACACTTTTGCACTGAAATAAATTAATCCATATAGATATAATTTGTAGATGTTTCTTTTATTCAGATTTATTCAGATTGGTTCACGTTACATGGTTGCAGTACTTACCAGTTGTTATTAATTAGCATGCACAGATACAGGTAGGTTAACTCGTACTCAAAATAACATATCTCCACACACACGGAGTGAAGGACAGAATGACAGTGTGAATAACTGAAAGAGCAGAAACTTTCAAGAAAATCGGAATGGAAGCCTCGAGTCCGATACAGTGAATGACAATGTGCAGTCAATACAGCCTTGATGCATCAAGATAAACATTAAGCCTAGCCGTCATGCATTTCCTTAAAAGTAATTTTCACTTCAGAACATACAAATAATTGTCAGAGGCACAAGTCTAATAGCTTTATTCAAATTAAAAGAATTTTCCATTGCATGAGGAAGTGAATGAATTGGATTCAACATCACGTTTCAGTGAATGAGTTACAAAACCCAAGTCATATTGAAAGAAATAGTCCTAATCAAATATTAATGTCTTACTTTCACAGACACTTTAGGGATATTCTTTGTTAATACAAGCGGTTTCAAATGGTTATTGGGAAAGACTCGATAAATATATTAATGACAGACTGGTGTTTCCACCAATTTTTGTCCGGGTCTTCTCAAAATACTTATATATTTGGTAAGCATGGTATATATTATCACTGCAGTGTCAACTCCGGTTAAAACACACTTTACAAACCATATACTGTAGTTTCAGTAACAAGTTTAAAAAATGCCACAACCCATCAATCACTTGCAAATTATGATACAACTTTATTCCACGATTTTGAATTATTTACCTACACACGAAGACACTGGAATACATGGGAGTTGAGGCACAGTCTACTGTTTGAGAAGAAGGGCAACAAACAGGCCATGGGTGGAATTCAAATAATGGAATTCAAGTCATTATAACAAGGCCACTGAATTTTTCTTTTTCAATTATTTTTTCAATTAACATATCAAATCAGCAGTTCTGATTATATATCCTAGAGTATACGACATTTCTGTTCCCACCATTTTTCTCATGCTCATACATAGGGCATGCACATGTAAAAATATTCCCTTGAGGAAAATACTCTATAAGCACAGCTGACACAGAATCAGACCTTCTATATCACATACCTAGACCTGGAAAGCAGAGAAGATAAAAATGATATTTTAAAATACTCCATGATGCAAAAGTTTCACAATATCAAATTGCATGACATCAGCAGATAAATTAAGTGCTAATCTTCACGGCCAAGTCATGCACAAATTCAAATGATCATTCATAAGTAAAGTCGAGCTGGATATAGTATGGTTAAGTTGATACAAAATAGTAATGAGTATGGGAAATTAATTCAATATGTATCATTGGTTAAGAATGACTACAAAAAAATGAAGATAAAATGAAACTTCTGAAAACAAAGTGCTACTTAGCTACCACTTACAACGGAATGTCAATATTTATTGTTAACATGTACACTACAACAATAATCATTATACAGGATCACATATACCTTTTGTTCATATGACCGAGCCGACAAAAGGGGTGTTAGAGGTGTACATGCAAATGATTATCAGCAACTAATCAGACCCCAGATGATGATTACCACACAATTACCACAAAATTATCGCAGTCTGTGCCAAAAGGTCCACTAGCCCGATGTTGGCTCTTCGCATCATTTTGATAATTTTAGTACGATCTAAAGGACTTTTACTAGACTTGGCTTCAGACTCGTGTCTAAAGTCTGAGACAGTATCAAGTAGTTATTTTTAAGAAGCATAAAATGCTTTGTCTTGTCTAAGAAAGACAACCAACAGCATTACAATATTTTCCACCCTCAATATGAATCAGTGTGATTGTCATGGTTCTAAAAACACCGTTCAAAAACCAAATATATTTCTTTGATTGAAATCAAACTCCAAGGAAGACAACTCATACTTACTATCAAATGTTTGAAACAGTTCTGGTTTGTCTTCCAGTTTGATGGCACTTTCCACCTCTAGGTTTATCAGATCAGGATGTGCCGTGGTTGTGACGGACATGACTGGTGTTCTGTTGGCTGTCGTCACTACAACTTCATTGATGTCATCCAGGTTGATACGATCCTCAGAATCCTTTCGGAACAATCCAGTTGCGTAGTTGACAAAATTACTCAGATGTTTGGCAGATGTCTGAAAAGGTCTGAACCCTCCATCTGTCTGATCCTGCACTTGAGATTCCAAAATGGCTGATGAAGCAGACATGTCTGCTTGTTGTCCGTCATCTGATTCCAAACTGGTTCCTTTGACATATGCTGTTTCATCACTATTTTCAACAAAAACGTTCTCAATTCTTGATTCATTTGGATTTTGGTTTTCTTGGTGTACTCTCTTCGACTCTGGATCAGTCGTTGATTCTCCAGTAGCTGCATTGTTCAATATCACAGATTTTGCATCCTCACCAGAGAGTGTTAAAGACAGTTGGGGTTCATCCTGAGAGAGAGAAGTTTGGGCAAGGTCGGAAATATCAGTCGTTAGGACAGAAGCATCTCGATCCACAAAAGTAATTTTTCTTGACCCTTTATCATCTGTCACATTTGCATCATCACTAAAGCCTTCATCTTCTGTCACATCCGTTCCCACACTGGAAATCTCAGAAATATTTTCAGGAGCTGTCAGTTCGGTCACAGCACCAGCTGCACCTTGGTCATTGAAATTCTCATCACACTTTGCACCCAAAACTCCTTCCAAATCCTTCTCAAACTTACTCTCTACTTTATCCAAACCATCAGCAATTTTACTTTTAACTGCTCCCATTGTGTCGTCAGTACCTGTTTGGCTACTTCCTAAGTACTCTTCAGTGTCTTTACCAGTATCCTCAGCACTGCTTCCAAGATGAGCGCCTGCTTCTGCAGTTGTTTGTTCTGACTCACTCCTCACAGCATCTTTAGATGCAGGCTCTGTTTCACCCTCGCCAGGCAATTTTTCGTTTCCATTCAAATCTGGCGATTCAATATTAACACTCTGATGTCGCGATATCACACCACACGAACAGATACTGTTAGTTTCCGATTTCAAGCTCTCTAGTGTGGAGGATCGACTTGGATGACTTGGATGACATAGATCACTCAGCACTGTTCCTGGGCCTGTGTCTACATGGTCTTTGGACTTATCGTGCAGTGAGGCAAAAGCCTGGTAGAGGGGACAACCCTTGTCGTGGTACACTTCAGGCCGTGGAGATGTTGCTCGGTCCTCACTGAAACACCAATCAGAGCTGTTAGTGTCTCCAGTATAGTCTAGAAAAGCTTACTTTCATTGAACCTTAATCCATATGCAACAAGGATTATTCTATGCATAACATACACATAAGTATGGAGATCTAACATAAATGTGGTTTCTGTTATGTTATGTTTTGTAACAGATTGACCTTGTTCCTTCACATGCACACACGCACGCACACACGCACACACGCACGCAGGCAGGCACGCACGAACGCACACTCCAGCTATATGACGGCGGTCTGTAAATAATCGACTTTGAACCAGACAATCCAGTGATTGATTTTATGAGCATCAATCCACGGAATTGGGATCGATGACATGCTTCATCCAAGTCAGCAAGCCTGACCACCCGATCCCATTAGTCGCCTTTTACAACAAGCATAGTCGCCTTTTACGACAAGCAGAGTCGCCTTTTACGACAAACATAGTCGCCTTTTACGACAAACATAGTCGCCTTTTACGACAAACATAGTCGCCTTTTACAGCAAGCATGGGTTGCTGATGTTAGTAATCAGTATATAATATGATGATTGCAATTAAACATAGCATATTTTGTTTTAATTTCTATTTTTCTCTTTGGCAATATCTTAAGTTGCTAACATGTGTTCATAAAACAATAAAACAATTTGATCTTGCCTTAATATGATAATCACTTTTAATGTAGGATGGTCTTCAATCATTAACCATAGCATGCTCACTGTCGATCAAGTTTTAGTAATGGTGACATCTTCCTCCAAATATTATATTGCATGAAACCATTTATTTACATCCGACTCAAATACAAAGCATCAAATCACTAACATCACTCATTAATATCTTCTAACACATAAGAAACAAAAAGTATTGACATACTTTGCATTGCATATGATATAAATAACACACTGTTATATGCAGTATTACTATAGTCAAGATATGAAATAAACTAATTAAATCTCAGTGCTTTTTTCTCTTTAGAATCTCCAGTGTCATTTTAGTCAGAATGAGGAAAAAGTTGCCACAACTCAAAAATGAAACCTTTTAAGTGATTCTATAAATGGTACAAAGTTTATAAGACAATCCTTCACAAAAAAAAAGAAAAAGGGATTCTTCTAAACTGAAAACATCTTATCGAATCCAAAGAAGACAAGAAGAGTGAGAGAAAGCTGCACACTGCAGTCCACAATTTAACAACCACATCCTGACAGCCTGTTATAACAGTTTGAGCCAGCCCAACCAGTGTGGACAGCAATACTCCATGCCATCTGTGATCCAATACACTCAATCAGCCAGGTAACACATGGTAACCTCCTGACCCTCACAAGTCAGATCTTATGACGAAGCATGAGTTTTGCCAGGGATCAGCCCCGAATCCCTAGGGGCAGAAGGAAGGCAAGCCATCAATACAGGAGCCATTACTGTCGGGTGCTTTGTATAGAGACTATGCAGTATAGTGAGAGAGCCAACTTCCTACAATTAAGGATGGGCTGTAAGAAGTGTAGTGTAGAATCAGTCAAGTTTTAAATCTGGAGTTGACAAGGAAGTACCTTAATTCACAGCTACCTGATTCCTCCACATGGCACCCTTTACCCCATGTTGGGGCTGGGACGGGTAACTCGGGTTGGGTGGGTACTGAGCAGGACCCCGATACCCACAGGACTATGCGGACCCGTGGTTAGGTCTTAGTTATAATTTACAGTCGAACATGGTTAAAACTAACAAGGACATTGTACTGTTAGTTAAAACTAGTTCAAAAGTCCCAACAGCTTAACAATATATTATCCAATATTATCCTATAAAGCTCATGTGCTTTACAAATTCGGTGTAATGAATGCATGGCTATATGAACCTGATATTTTACCCCAAAGAGACCTACAATTCAATAAACTTACGTGAGTAATGATCAAACTGGTCAATTAATGTGAGCCACCATGTAATAATCCCATCAACTCTACACTGTGCACGAGTAGATGAATGAACTTCACAATACACAAATGATCAATTAAACCACAAATGTATATTGCTCAACCAGTCCTTGGTCGCAGTGGAAAAATAATTACAGCAGTACAACAGCTCCTGGTGGGATGATTATCTGTTGTCAATAGATGATCATGTAGGAGAGGAAGTACCTACATTAGGACAACCCACTCTTTCCACATGTAAGTGACATCATTAGGGGCAAAGAATAAAATTAAGCAAATCATAAACAAAATATAAATTCACCATAATGAGCTACAAATGAAGTAAAGAAATATGACAAACTACATCCTTATCCACAAAACATCAGGAAATTAAAGAAACAAATAATTGGGTACCCCTTCTTCTCTCTCTCAGGAAAAGATGGACTGACTGGTCCAGTATAGATCTGACTGACCGGTCCAGCATTTAAACATCTGTGGACAATCAGATACAACTCAGTCACAAGCAGGGTTATCAGTTCCAGCCTGAGCAAGGCAAGCTGGCTGTGCAGATGACAAGATGTCAGTAGGCTTACGCAACACCACACTCACATGGGAGGGGATCTCAGTCCCCTCCGGTGATTGGAGGGTCACTAATGGCTTTTGTTTAGGAGAGTCTTGTAATTAGGAGCAGGGTCCCAGACTCACAACATTCAGGAGGACTATTAACATTTCTTGGTGGATGACAAGTGTTGCTATTGTGTAGATGGTAACTCTGCAGTAGGCCATTTTGTGGACTAGTAAATACAAACATATGTCTTAACCTGGGGGTGACTATCTGGGGTATATCATGGACACTTAAAACGATATATAGGGTACATGGGTATATTAACCAATCCAATGGTATGGTGATGATTAAATATTATTGCTATCCAATTGCATACAACTATTTTAATGTGGTGACTGTCCCCCTCTTCCTTGGTTCACATCAAGATCAATGTAACTTTCAAACAGGAAAGTTTTTTTTGTATATGATAAAGTCCCCTAAATAATTGTCAATTATAAACCAAGGCCTTATAATTTGTTTTAAATGTCATAAAAGGAGAACTTCTGTTACAATATTCACTGCAGGCTAGAGTTCATGTACACATGTATGTGATGCCTGCGTTCAGTATATATACACGGGAAAGCCATCTGAAAAGGCTACATTGGAAAATTAAAGATTTGTAAATTTTGGGTTTTTTTAAATTTGAAATTTTTCAAGTATGTTTGTACTACTTGTTTACATAAATACTTGGAAAAAAACACACAAAAAACTGTATTTCAAAATTATACCACACACAAGAAGTTCAGGAACACCCAATTCTTTCATATTAACTATAGTAATATGGAAGAGGTGGCGGTCCTTAACATCTTTGGAGTAGTATATTTGGGTTATGGTGATTTCTTTTAGGTATTTTCATAAATACACAGCTTGTCTTGAGCTTTGTCACTCACTCTAAAAAACAAAAACATATCATCAGTACAGTATCCTGTGACTTGATCAAATGGCTAGGGGACTTACTTCATGGATTACAATACTGTATATGTTCCACAAGGCTGAGATGTATCACAGAAATGGTAGTGGTAACTTTTAACACTGAACTTGAAATTCATTAAAATCTATTACTTTAATTAAAACCCTTTTAAGAGATTGTACTATATCAATTCCCTTTCAAACTTTGAATTAACCAAATAATTTCCAAAAAATTAAAATCATCCTAAAAAAATACATCACCCTTTTCTTTTCCTGCTGCCAATCCAACTGTAACACTTTGGGAAACCATGTTTCATGAAAAATCTCATTGTGGACATTTGTAAACAGATTTTAACAGAGACAGTGATCAAGCGTGCTGACCAATGTCAGTGAAAAACGTGTGACTGCTATCACTGTCCGATAATCCTGGCTTACACCACATGACCTATGATTCACTGTCAGTTATCAGACTACAAGTAATGAGAGTTGTCTCCCCTGGGACAAATTGGCTTAATTTTGCGTTCCCTGTGGTGCCTACTCTTTGTATTGTAGGGCACATAATTCTGAATAAAAATATTTTTATTGTTTATATGGATATAGAAATATCAAACATTTTTAAACAGTTTTTAAATAATCTGACAAAAATAATGAACTAGCTTTTAATTATATTAATCATTTTTTATTAATTGATAAATTGACCTCTAGATCTCTAACAAAAATAGATAACTGTTAATTAGGAGAATTGGAAACAATTGTGTGTCTGAATGTTTTAAGCCAAACTGCATATAATTTGTTGACTAAAATTATTTTTCACTCTTTTTATCTTAAAACTAAAGACTCATTATCACAATACCTGTATATCATTCCAGTGGATTATACAACTAAAACGAGGTGTGTAGCTATCTTAGTCAGCTCTACTTAATTTAGGAAAAGCATAAAATTTACTTCAAAATATCTTTAAAAAAATATTAGCATTCTTTTCATCATTTCATTTGATATTCATAAAAAAAGTATCTTCATAAATTCACAAACTTTTATTGTATTCTCATATTGAGAAAAAAACTTCAATAAGTGACATTCATGGTGAGTTGTCATTTGCTGATTCAAAACATGAAAAAATTCAACCCATATTGCCAGAAGGTGTTTTAACAAAACCACAAAAAAGACATGGTCTAGACATATGTGCAGCACTCTTAGAATCAGCTACACTTCCTGGTGGTACGGTGGGTGCTATTCACCAGGCAAAACCACAATTACTGGCGAAATGTACACACGTCATTAACAGTGGGACATATCCTGGGTTTTTTTAACACAAAAACATATTTATATACTAAATTGAGGTATGTTCGGGTTTTTGGGTTTTTTTTTTCAAAATTAGGTACTTTGATTATCATTTTTAACAAAACTTTTGCCTTACCTGATTTCAGTTATTCCAGTTAACATTTAATTGTTTGTTTGTTTGTTTGTTTGTTTGTTTGTTTAACTCTGCATTCAGCAATATTCCAGCTATATGATGACGTTCTGTAAATAATCGAGTCTGGACCAGACAATCCGGTGATTGACATCATGAGCATCGATCCATGCCCTTGGGATCAATGACATGCATCAATCAAGACAGTGAGCCTGACCACCCGATCCTGTTAGTCGCTCCTTACGACAAGCATAGTCGCGCCATTTACAGCAAGCATGGGTTGCTGAAGACCTATTCTATCCCGGATCTTCACGGGTCTCCAGTTAACAAGTGCATAAAGACACAGTGCCTTACAAGATTCCTGTCCCTAATCATTATCAATAATCTATACATCTATATTGTCTTATCTAGCTTCTCATTCGTCTCTTATCAAGGAGGATATAAAGATAGGAACATTCATGTGAAGGACTTTGAAAAGCCATTATGCAGCTAGCATTTGGCTTCATGCTACTCCTGACAATGATAATTAGAAGGGTTACAAGTTCACCTTGCTGCCCTAATCTCATACTTTAAATACCTTATATAATGCTAAAAGCAGCTATCTTAAGCTAGTGATTTAGCAGCATAAGTTTCAACTTGCTTCATAGGGAGGCACTATCAAGAAGCCACGATACAATTACATAAGACAAAGCTGCCTAAGTAAATCTCATCAAACCTTAAGATCAGGGTTGTGCTGACTCATGGATAAGCTTTGTAAAGTCAAACATCCTTATAGCCCTCACCATCCCTTCACCCGTATATATGTCTCCAGCTTGTGGGAGGGGCAAATTTCTATCCCTGCTTATAAGGATATCTTCTGAGATAAACATGACACATAATTCTTGTGCATTTGACTCAATAATTATTTTAAATACTTGCAAACATTTATGACACGAGTCAAAACTGACGCAATAAATTTGCTAAGGTAATCTAAATTCATACTGAGAATTTACAATATTTACAAGAAAAATACTGACCGCTACTCCACTAGTTGTTTATAACAAAACAAATCTACAAACTCACGTAATTAAATAAGACTGAAACAACTTTCACAAAATAGAAACTTAGAGTTACTGTCTATTTATAGATACACCAGCCAATCAGCTGTGAGTTTTTCTGTCTAGCACTTGTTGCAGTCACAGTGTATATTACAGCAAACAAGCATGGCCTGTAAAGAAAATCATGACGAAGTTTAGAGATTGACACCACAACCCACCACCCCCCAAAATATGTGGAGTCATGATGACTCCCATTTAACAAGTCCATGTAAAACCTGTAGAATTCTAATTCAGCATCTCCTGCAGCTTACACAGACATAACATGTTGGAAGTGTCTTATTACCATGGACTCACCACAGAATAGTGCATAAATCACTGCCCTGGAGGGCTTAATAACAAGAAATGTTCAAGCCCTCTTACTGACCCATGAAGATCTGGGGTAGAGTATGTCTTCAGCAACCCATACTTGCCATAAAAGGCGACTATGTTTGTCGTAAGAGGAAACTAACGAGATCAGCTGGTCAGGCTTGCTGACTTGGTTGATGCATGACATCATATCCCAATTGCGTGGATCTATGCTCATGATGTCAATCGCTGGATTGTCTGGTCCAGACTCAAATATTTTGCAGACCACCGCATATAACTGGAATATTGCTGAGTGCAGCATTGAACAACAAATAAACAAACAAAATCATAAACCATGTTTGTGGTAGTTCTTAGACTTTCAGACACATTTCCAATAACGCGTGTACAGATATAGCAGTCATAATCAGTGCATAGCAAAGACCCAGTTTACAACATCGCAAAACAAAATGACAACAGACTCTGACATTAAATGATGCCTTAACTGACTTGATGATTCATAGAAATACATATGTGTTGACAATAATTTTCAACTCGACAGTCAGGCCAGTTGAAATGTTACAACCCTAATATAAAAGTCACTGGCATTTGGCTAACGGGCAGACAGCTATTTCAAACACCACCACAGATTGGTCTCTGATGCTTGTCATGACAGCATGAGTACATTGTTAAAGTTTGGAGTAACGGCTTACCCTTTCTTGCCACGGAGCCTCATGGCAGCTATGTCATGGTACATGGCCGCGCTGATCACCATGTCCATGGGGGTGATCATCCCATACTGCTCCGTGCCATGCTCGATCACCAGGGGGTCGGACACGTTGGGGTCGAACATCACAGCATTGGGGGTCACAATCAAGGTCCCACTCACTACTCCCTGAAAGAGGGAGGAATTAAATTTTCATTCTTTGACTTGCAAAACTACTTGCTTTGAAATTGTATGGTGAAAATAAGGACAATTACAGCCTCAAGGCATAGCACGGTAAACAGCCAATATGTGCCATATAAATAATTTTTCTGTAGACCACGTATTTATTTATATTAATTTCAAATAATTATTTGAAGTATTTGTGTAATTTTAGAATAATAAAGGAACCTCCTGCAATACATTCGTTTAATTTATAACGTTGTGAAAGTGTTCTATTCAAATTTTCCAGTTTCATTTCCAAGTAAATCCAACTTTTGTAGTGTGATCATAGGATTCACCTGTCTTGCTGTTTCATGCGATGACTGTCAGTTCACAATATGTGCCATATAAATAATTTTTCTGTAGACCACGTATTTATTTATATTAATTTCAAATAATTATTTGAAGTATTTGTGTAATTTTAGAATAATAAAGGAACCTCCTGCAATACATTCGTTTAATTTATAACGTTGTGAAAGTGTTCTATTCAAATTTTCCAGTTTCATTTCCAAGTAAATCCAACTTTTGTAGTGTGATGATAGGATTCACCTGTCTTGCTGTTTCATGCGATGACTGTCAGTTCACTTTGCTTGTACTATTCCGGGCTAAAGCCACTTTATAGTGCTAGCCTACTGAGATACCATGAGATACCATGCTAGCCCACTGAGTTTAACATGGATACCCACGCAGTCACAGTATACTGATTCTGTGCCGACTAGTTAGCCCATTAATGCAGTGCACCAGGCAGGGTAACAAAAAGTACCATCTTTTTACGTCTTTTGGTATGAAGCAGCCGCTGATTGAACCACTGACCTTTCACTCCATGGGCAGAGGCTCTCGCTACTAGACCACGGAAGAGGTCTGGATCCCATTAGAAGACAAGGCTATGTGACAAACTTATGCAGAAGTAGACGTTCTTACAAACTGTTGAAAACCTCACCTGTCCATCAGTGATGTGTTTGACATTAATTTTGATAAATCTCTCATAGCATTCCTGGTCCAGCTGTTTTGCCTCCTCATCAGATAGCTTTTGTGGTACAGCAGGCTCTACTTTTTCCTTAGGCAATGAGATTTGCCTCTCCACGTGACCTGGGACCCGCACTGGTGGTTTGTCAGCCATGCAGACTAGGGGTACATCCTACAAAACACAGCAGGAACGTAGCATCAGCATCATTGTCAGCAGCAGCAGCATTGCCGCCACCACCACCACCACCAATGGTAATAGTTATGATAATGATAACGAAACTAATCAAATAATGATGAGATAATATAACAAGAACCAATTGAGAAATGTTACAGCAATTATATTATTATCTACATTTGTACTCTGTCCGAAAGTTTTTCTTTGATATGGGCATTCTGGAGTTTGTCCCTAACCTGCATCCCTAAGTATGTGTAGGCCAGACCTTCCACAAGATGGTCAATAACTGTTCGCCAAAGTAAAAATTATTATTGTTGTTGTTGTTGTTGTTGTTGTTATTATTATTAATGTTGTTGTTGCTATTATTATTTGAATTCAAATCATCAACATCATCAGTGTTGTTCATATTGATATTGTTCTTATTTTGAATTAACTCTGTTTAACTCTCTACCTTACCAAACTTTTTCTCATGATTCTAATCATAATCTAAAGACAACACAATACTGGACACAGAGTAAGTCCCCTTGTAAATATGTAGCAGTTCCCAGCTTTCCCAGCAGATCGTAGACATTTACCACCTTGGTGAAAGCCACTCGACGTTTGTTTATTTGTTCATTGTTTAAGTCCGCAGTCAGCATCAATCCAGGTATTATTGTCAGCTGCATGTAACTTATCAAGTCGGGCACAACAAACAAGTGATTACTATTATGGACAATGGTCTACGCTCTCAGGGTTGAAAGCTGATTGACTAAGGGATTCCCCACAGGGTTGAAAGCAGTCAGAGCATGGACATGGTACTGATTGACCAAGGGATTCCCCTCAGGGTTGAAAGCAGTCAGTGCATGGACATGGTACTGACTGACCAAGGGATTCCCAAAAGGGTTGAAAGCAGTCAGAGCATGGACATGGTACCGATTGACCAAGGTGAGTGAGTGAGTTTGGTTTATGCGGCTTTTAGCAATATTCCAGCAATATCACGGCGGGGGACACCAGAAATGGGCTTCACACATTGTACTCATGTTGGGATTCGAACCCAGGTCTTCGGCGTGACAAGCGAACGCTTTAACCACTAGGCTAACCGACTGCCCCCGATTGTCCAAGGGATTCCCCACAGTGTTGAAAGCAGTCAGAGCATGGACACGGTACTGACTGACCAAAGGATTCTCCACAGGGTTCAAAGCCACAAAAGCATGAACATGGTAATGACCAAGGACAATGAAACTATCAATAACAACTCATATAAAATTATCAAAACAATATCTATAAAATTATTAATCCCAAAGAGTAATTTTGCATTTCATATCACATATGATGGCACAATCAACAGGGATTTTAACAGCTTATTAACCTTACTTGAATCTGTACGAGTTCATTGTTTTACATACGCAATATATTGAATCTGTATGAGTTCATTGTTTTACATACGCAATATACTGAATCTGTATGAGTTCATTGTTTTATATACGCAATATATTGAATCTGTATGAGTTCATTGTTTTACATACGCAATATATTGAATCTGTATGAGTTCATTGTTTTACATACGCAATATATTGAATCTGTATGAGTTTATTGTTTTACATACGCAATATATTGAATCTGTATGAGTTCATTGTTTTACATACGCAATATATTGAATCTGTATGAGTTCATTGTTTTACATACGCAATATATTGAATCTGTATGAGTTCATTGTTTTACATACGCAATATATTGAATCTGTCAACACTGCCACCAGCTGAGTCTACATTGAACCTTCACACTACTTACCCCTGCGTCGTGCGGAGAAATGTCCTACTCAAAGAAGGTCACAACATCACACATGCTACCTTTTGGGGACCACATTTTCACTTTCACTTTCACACAGCAAAGACGAATTTCCCCCGAAATCTACATCTGCTGCACGAGTCAGATGCATAGCACACTTCAAGATGCCATATACGAGCGATGTCGATACAGGACTGTACTTACCAACAGGTGATTGCTGTGACAATGACAGCCTCAAGCAGGGACAAGGGAGGTGTATACTTTTGTTGTACATTACAGCTGGTCCGTGATCAATATCAGCGTATGACCAGCCATATTGAATGTCGTCACATATGCTAATAGCAGTCAATCAACAGCACACATTCCTACTGCTGCAGAGCCAGGCAGTCTGTGACCCCAGCACAGCCAAATCTTCCGACTGTCACATGTCACTGTCATGTCTAGTCAATGTCATCTTTAAGGTAGTCATTTATCGCTCACTTGAAATGCTGATATAAGTGGAACCAGGTTCGGATTAATTGGCAGTCTTAGCAAATTTGGTTCAAGTTGTCAAAAACCTACCACGTCAGTCAGCTGACTAAATGATATGTTGTATATCACTTTATCAGTTTGAAGACATGAAACTTTCATGGATAACAACTTAGTTATTTCTTGTAACGACTTTTCAGGATGATTTTCTATCCCCTATATAAGAGTGATTGAGTGAGTGAGTGAGGTTTTATGTGGCTTTTAGCAATATTCCAGCAATATCACGGCGGGAGACACCACAAATGGGCTTCACACATTGTACCCATGTCGGGAATCGAACCCGGGTCTTCGGCGTGACGAGCGAACGCTTTAACCACTAGGCTACCTGACCGCCCCCCCCACCCCCCTATATAAGACAGCTAGGAAGCATAAATGCATTCACTCAGCACTACCATGTGACATTCACATGAGTTAGTGAGTGAGTATGATTTTATGCCGCATTCCAGCAATCTTCATGGCTGGGGACACCACAAATTGGCTTCAAACATTGTACCCATGTGGGGAATCGAACCCGGGTCTTTGGCGTGATGAGCGACCGCCTTAACGCGACTCAATATGAATGCAACACCCCCCTACTCTCAAGCATCTATGGATTTATATCTAAAGAAAATGTCCTCTGTCAGGTTTACAGGAGAATCCTCACCTTTATCCAACCTTACATTAATCCAATCACACACCAAATAGCACCGCTTATTAGCCCTGAGTAGAGTACTTCCGCTAAAACAATACATGCGCGCTGGCTCGTGTCGGCCTTAGACGCAATCACAAAGAACAAAGACACCGTGTTGTGTGGGTGGCGTCTTTCTGGACTTGCAGGTGTGATCAGTGATGACATAAGTGAGTAGAACTCCTGTCTTGACCCCAGCAGTGATAATTCACAGGATGTAATTAGTGTTAAATGACATTGTTTACATACTTGATTTTATTACAAGTGCTGCTCATTAAACAGTGATGTGAAATACATAGTTGTTTGTTTTCAGCATATGTCGAAGTTGGTATTTCTGCTATCTAGAATGTCTTATTGTTGATATATATGCAATGTTAAATAATGCGAGCAAAGACCACTCACTGTTTTTGCATTTAATTCACACTCACATTAATTTCAAGACTTACGATAGCACAAACTTGCAACTCACTGCTATTTACAGCAACCATGATCAGATTATAATTTCGTCTATTGATGCCTTATTACAAACCTTAATCTAAAAGATTTGCTGTATCAAAATTGCCACAACAGAATGTTGCTATATGACTATAGTCAGTCACTATGTGGCTTAAATTAATTGCGTTTTCCATTATTCATGATTGCTGATTGATGTCCAACTGTTCCATACATTAAAACCAACCAGTGACACACCAAAGTGATTCACTGGGATTTTATTTTAAATACAAGCATGGTTCCAGATCAGTAAGAATCCAGATAAACAGGTTTCCAGATTAAATAGACTCGCTTTGCTCACTTTGCTATTTAACAAAAACTATTCCCAAATGTTTGGTTTGTTTGTTGTTTAATGCCATACTCAGCAATATTCTAGCTATATGACAGCGGTAGTCTGTAGATAATCGAGTCTGGACCAGACAAACCAGTGATTGACATCATGAGCATCAATCCAAGCAATTGGGATATGATGACATGCATCAACCAAGTCAGCAAGCCTGACCAACCCATCCCGTTAGTCGATTCTTACGACAAGCATAGTCGGTGGGTTGCTGAAGACATACTCTACCCCGGATCCAAACACAGGTCAAAATGTTTGGTACCTACTCAAAATGATTTGCCACATGTTTAGTAAGTACATTGTATTCATTTTCTGCTGTCAATATGCTTCAAGAAACAATCTCAGTTGTAATGCTTGGTGAATCTGGTTATATGTCACACCATGAGTCAGAAACCTCTTCCAAATACAGCTGTTGTTGATGGTGTGAATTATATTAATGTCACCTGTACATTTCCTGGTGACTAATTTTCACGATGAACTGAATTGCTTGTCAGTATGTGCAGATTTGTTACAAAGGTTCTGGCAGCTTGTTGGTTTGGTTTGTTGTTTAACGCCGCACACAGCAATATTCCAGCTATATGACAGTGGTCTGTAAATAATCGAGTCTGGACCAGACAATCCAGTGATTGATATCATGAGCATCAATCCACTCAATTGGAACCCATAACATTCTTCAACCATGTCAGCGAGCCCGACCAACCGATCCCGTTAGTCGCCTCTTACGACAAGCATAGTCGCCTTTAACAGCAAGTTGGGTTGCTGAAAACCTACTCTACCCCGGATCTTCACGGGTATGGCAGCATGTAATTTTCCACTGGGATGTCACTGCAAATATCACGAGCAATAGCGAGATCAGGTGGTCAGGCTCGCTGACTTGGTTGATGCATGTCATAGTATCCCAAATGCGTGGATCAATGCTCATAATATCAATCACTGGATTGTCCAGTCCAAACGCTATTATTTACAGACCCCCGAAAGGGGTGGCTTAGGAAAGGATTACACTTTCATCAAACTCTTTTTTGTTGGTAAATAAATGTTGGTGAAATTTATGACTAACATCACAAGACATGATGATTTACCATTTTAATTATATTTCTTGTTATGCTAGGAATGATTTTATATGCAGGGAATAAAATTACCACGTGTATTGTCTTGCAAACTAAGACGGAAACAGCAATCAGCTGCACACACGGGGTCTCCCAATCTACCAGTGATTACGTTAAAAGAATTTTGACACAATGATCGGAAAATATAATATCTTAAACGTTAGAAATTGGCACTAGTCCTGTAGTCCTTGCCAAACTGCCCAATAGTTAAGGTATCATAAGGACTAGTAGACAGTTGCCATTTTTAAGGGTTTTGCTATATGTTATCATTATAAGGACCAGTGGACTAAAACTGTTAGCTTCTACCACTGAAACTACTATTTTACTATGAATAATATATTCTGATATTGTGTTATTATAACTGCAGGTTTTACAATATATCTTCAAAATAATGATAACCATAATCAGGGTTATGCGGTAGCACTTTTGCATTCGTACAATTACATAAAACCAATTACTTAGTCCATACTATTCAAAATTGAAAAAATATTGTAATCATGTAAGAGAATGATAGGCACTCTACTCTGAACTTGTGAAATCTGGCCTAAGCAGCGTGCATCAGCTGACGGATGCCTGGCTATTTAATATGTAGAACGTAGTGACATTAGTATGTGTTATGATGATAGTTTAATCAGGTGACCTGTGTTGATCAATGTGGCAGCTATGCTTGGTGTGGTTCACTGTTACTAATGTTTATCACACATTAACCTCAATGTGTTTATAGTTACAGTGCTATTATTTTGATTTATGCTGTGAAACATATCGTGACATATGTATCAGTATCTCATTTCCATCTTTCTCATGATGCAAGAGAAACAATAACATAAACAATGGAGGCAGAGCGTCGTGATGGTAGAGGACAGTAGAGTATTAAACTCACCACTCTGACCCTGGATTCTGGGGGTGGGCTGAGGGAGGGTGGTGAGATGGATAGCGCCAGTGACAGTGCAGGACAGTATTAAACTCACCACTCTGACCCTGGATTCTGGGGGTGGGCTGAGGGAGGGCGGTGAGATGGATAGCTCCAGTGACAGTGGACAGTACTAAACTCACCACTCTCACCCTGGATTCTGGGGGTGGGCTGAGGAACTGTGGTGAGATGGATAGCTCCAGTGATGGTGGAGGACAGTATTAAACTCACCACTCTGACCCTGGATTCTGGGGGTCGGCTGAGGGAGGGTGGTGAGATGGATAGCTCCAGTGACAGTGGACAGTACTAAACTCACCACTCTCACCCTGGATTCTGGGGGTGGGCTGAGGAACGGTGGTGAGATGGATAGCTCCAGTGATGGTGGAGGACAGTATTAAACTCACCACTCTGACCCTGGATTCTGGTGGTGGGCTGAGGGAGGGTGGTGAGAGGGATGGTGCCAGTGACAGTGCAGGACAGTATTAAACTCACCACTCTGACCCTGGATTCTGGGGGTGGGCTGAGGGAGGGTGGTGAGATGGATGGCTCTGGGGAGGATGCCTCATGGTCGCTGCTGGACACATAGTCTGGATCTGGGATGTACAACACCTGAAAACAGACAGCATGATGATCATATCCATAATTCATCCCTGACTTTAGCACATACCAGATTCTTGCTGATTTAACCGAGGTATCAAATCACAATAACATGCTTCTGTTTTTTTGCAGTGATTCATGTGAAGCTTAACTTATATTGTTCAAGTCCAATGTCTACCCCAGTGAATTGCATATTGTAAATCCGGAAAGTTTTGCAAGCATGAAAGTAAAACAAAAACTGCGAGTGACACACACGATGCTGTTGATCTTGTAGATCAACAAAAAGCATAAGGAGGTATATTTCTTCTATTTACTATCACACATTGTCAACCATCAAGTTGCATAAATTAATCAATAATCCCTCACATCCTGTTTCCTTAATTACACTTTATCACTCAGTGGCAATTGTCTGATCAGGAAAGTTCAGTGACCTGCCATATCCTGTCAGTTAGCTTACACAAAGCTGACTAAATGGATTCATCAAATATATTACTTGAACCACTCTGGCTAGCCCTCGTTTTTTAAACCCACATTTTATTATCCACAACTGGGATAATAAAGTTATTCACACAATTAAAGATCTATGATGGAGGTAATCATACTTCCCATTACTGTACTTAAGAAAAATAATGTCATGGACACTTTTCTAGACAATATTTAAAGGTTATTAAGTATATCCTAGAGCCTGTAGAAAAACTGTCAGCTGTACAAATACTGAGACCCAGAATATGGGAATTGATAAGGTGCTGAAAAGTTTCATTACACCTTCAAAAGGTTGCCGAATATTTTGTGATATACACATGAAATCTGAAACATATCCCCCAGTTTTCTATAAATGCGAAAACTTGATAAATATCACAGTACAGTAAATATATTTACTGATTTTAGAAGATGCACAAAAGGCACTAAGTTGCCAGGCTTTAATATAGATTTATTTATCAAATTATATACACCAAAACGGAACTTCTTTGCTATATTGCTGGGAATTAATACCTGCTACAGTTTTATGAATCATATCATTTTGTCTACTAAAAGATATATCTACATTTCAAGCATAAAAAACAGTAAACTTCACCTGGGGGCATTCTTGGGAATTATTAGGGATACTATTCAAGTGGAAAATTATGGCTAGAAAAAATAACATTGTTGCAAAGTTCGATAGAAAATGGCCAGAACAATTTCTACGAATGTAACGAAATACAATGTACCGGTATTAGATATGATTTACCTCACCATGTTTACAGTATTTGGCTATAAAATTTCTACATGAGTCAACCCATTTTGATCATTTCAATTATTGTAGAAGTTCAATGAAAGAATCCTTCCAAATTGTTACCTGTCCAGGAAAGATCATCCGAGACACCAGTCTGTTGAGTTTCTTCAACTCAGAGGGCGTGGTGTCATGATGTGCAGCAATGCTCTCCAAGCTGTCTCGCCCTGCCACCTACAGGAAAAAAGACAACTAGAAATCCTTGCTGATCCTTATGAATTCAATTCAAGTCTTGAATAGCTGATTACATCACCTGAGTTGAATATATATCACTGGAGCCTGCAAATAGTGAGATCTGGACCAGGCAAACCAGTGCCTCTATCAATGCCTTCAGAGCATGATGACACCATGGATTCCCCACTCAGACACTGTGAGTATACTCACTCCCAGCAAACCAGTGCCTCTATCAATGCCTTCAGAGCATGAAGACACCATGGATTCCCCACTCAGACACTGTGAGTATACTCACTCCCAGCAAACCAGTGCCTCTATCAATGCCTTCAGAGCATGAAGACACCATGGATTCCCCCCCACTCAGACACTGTGAGTATACTCACTCCCAGCAAACCAGTGCCTCTATCAATGCCTTCAGAGCATGAAGACACCATGGATTCCCCACTCAGACACTGTGAGTATACTCACTCCCAGCAAACCAGTGCCTCTATCAATGCCTTCAGAGCATGAAGACACCATGGATTCCCCACTCAGACACTGTGAGTATACTCACTCCCAGCAAACCAGTGCCTCTATCAATGCCTTCAGAGCATGAAGACACCATGGATTCCCCACTCAGACACTGTGAGTATACTCACTCCCAGCAAACCAGTGCCTCTATCAATGCCTTCAGAGCATGAAGACACCATGGATTCCCCCCACTCAGACACTGTGAGTATACTCACTCCCAGCAAACCAGTGCCTCTATCAATGCCTTCAGAGCATGAAGACACCATGGATTCCCCACTCAGACACTGTGAGTATACTCACTCCCAGCAAACCAGTGCCTCTATCAATGCCTTCAGAGCATGATGACACCATGGATTCCCCCCCACTCAGACACTGTGAGTATACTCACTCCCAGCAAACCAGTGCCTCTATCAATGCCTTCAGAGCATGATGACACCATGGATTCCCCACTCAGACACTGTGAGTTATAATACTCACTCCCAGCAAACCAGTGCCTCTATCAATGCCTTCAGAGCATGAAGACACCATGGATTCCCCACTCAGACACTGTGAGTATACTCACTCCCAGCAAACCAGTGCCTCTATCAATGCCTTCAGAGCATGAAGACATCATGGATTCCCCCCACTCAGACTGTTTATGTTGCTGCTTGTACTAGTCTAAACTAATGCTGAGTTCAAAGTGCTAGCCCACTGAGATGCCATGCCGCAGTTACTACAGTACTATCAGTACCAACAAGTACCATCTTTTAACGTCCTTTGGTAATAATTTAGTCAAAGTTTTATGAGATACTACTACCAGGAGGCTGTACGTCCAGAATATTCATTCCCCTCTTCAATTCAGTTCAAAACTCAATTAAAAAGCTACCGATTTCGACCTTCACTCAGCGCTACACGAAGAATGGATGCAGTCACAGGCAGTTTCCATTCTTTTATGACATGTTCCCTGGACCCATTCGCTATCACAGCTTCATTTCAAAGTCGCACTTTGTTTCACCAGCTCCATCTCTTTCGAATAACAGGGTGTCTTAGCCAGAGGTTGAAATCAACAACCAATCAAAAAGCCCCTTATGAACACTGTTCAGCATACATAGAATATGAAGCTGAAAACATGTTTTTCTAGGTAGAAGACAAGAAAGGGATGACTACAAGTTCACGTTGTATTTGTGATGGTATGCCAACAGTCTATTGAACCGGACTCCAAATAAAGGAATGGTCCAGGGTGCCATTGTACTAAACGATCTTAGCACTAAGGTGATCGTAACTCCCTTACCTTAACATAGACTTACGACAGTCTTACGCTAAGGTTGATTTGTACAATGGTTCCCAGGATATTTACCAAAATAGAGATTTAAATTTCTCCAGGCAAGTGTTTACCCAAGTTTCATCAGACCAACTTATTTAACCATGGCCTTTGCCTCTCTCCCAAATACATACCTCATATGGAATAGTGCCCTTGGGCTTTGAACGACTTGGCTTTTTCTCTGGTGATGCTGGTTTGTCTGCAAGACTTGCTGAAATCGATGAGAGGGCTGCATCAGTGACCGGCTGGCTAACCAGATCCGGTGTTGGTATGGCCACCGGGTCAGTAGTGATATACCACACAGTCTTATTGGAATCTGGTGGTAAAGGGTTAGTGTGTTAGTGCTGGGTTAGTGCAGGATTAGTGAAAGGTAGTAATGGAACATGCTAACATCGGTTAGTTCAATGACAGGTGCAGTCACAGCTGAAGGTGAGTGAGTGAGTAGAGGAGTTTTGAACAGTAATACAAAAACAAAATTGTGACAGCATTTATATAATGTCCGAGGAAATCTCGGAGCATCACAGGTCACAATCTCATTAAAATCAGATCTTGCTCACTACTGCTGAACAAAGACCTGAGGACATCCTATTACAGGTCATGTCAGAATGACCCTTCATCCGACCAATCACAGCACCACTTAGAGAATGCGAAAGTGAAACACACAGTATTCTGAATGACATTCATCATCTATATCTCACTTCAATGGGATAAACATTTGAACTGGAAGAGAATTTCCACAGCCCATGGGAAGTTTTGTCATACAACCTCGGCCATCCATCACACATTACATAATTTTCTTTTGTTCAGTTTTCAAATATTGAATCAAAAACTTTCTCAAAATGGTATTCTCAAAATTGTCTGGAATGGAAGTCATCATTTTGAAACTAGTGCCATTAAGCTCGAGAAAGCTGCTTTCTGATTGGCTAATTTCGACTTCCTGGTAGTCATTTCATTGGACAGTCTAAGTTCACAAAGGGCCGTTCTGAGGTGATCTGTAATGGAATGTCTTCAGATATAAGATCTGGTTATAATAAGATTGCACAGGTCATGGATGTTTGCTTCGGTGTAACCCATGAACACAGTTGTGGTAAATCAGGGCATAGCTGGGCACACCCAGCAAATCCTGGCGGCTAAGGGAGATAACTGTGCACAGGGAGTAGCAGCTCTCAGTACCACTGTGCCATCTAATAGCTGGCAATACCAACACTTGGGAATACTGACGTGAGAAACTTCATAATGATTTAGTAGCATTTTTCATCAAAAATTACATGTGAGTGAGTGAAGGGATTCTAACATTGTGATATCAATGCATCACAAATTTACATCTTACAATACAGAACACAATACACCTACCCATGGATGGATTTTCAAAGAGGAATAATTGTAAGTTTTGCAGTTACCAGATCTGAACACCTAGATCAGGTGAGCATTGAAACAGGATAGCAACAACCTCCTGTCAGCCAGACGACATGTACCATGGAGAATTTCACTCAAAAAAAGTGTATACAAAACAATACAATACATATTGTATGGACCATCAAGTAGCTTGATATCTACACAATATTTGTCAAGAAAAGGGCTTGTGTCTGGTGGCAATTATAATGTTAGTACAAAAAGTCACATCTGAAAATTAGACATTGTCTGCAGTCGGCACCCATCACATACTGCCAGACACAAAGACGACATTTTGACTAACCAATACACCTTTTGGCTTTCTCTTGTAACAAAAATGTACAATGAACAAGGCCTTTTCTGTTAAAAAATACCAATGACAGAAAATTACATAAACAAATTCAACAAGGCCTATTTTCCATACTGGCACCGTGTTTCTTGGATTGCCTGTTAACCGGGACGATAAACCAACTATGCAATCCGATACGTATCACGATACCTTGCTCACAATACGATACGTATCACGATACTTGCATGTGCTTTTTTCTGTGGTGCGTAAGCACTGTTTTTCATAGACAGGATGGCCAAATACCTGACACAATGACTTACATTTGGCAGTGTCAAGTATGGCGCAATGGATGAAAAAAATTATGTTTTCACTACTCTTTTTCACAAGTAATAATTAGTGTTTGGTGTAACATTCTTTAAAGAATACATTTAAGGTAAGAATCGATTCTTTTGACTATGTGTGCGATTATCGAGAAGTCAAAAATCGCAATCCACTACTACTGTAGACTGGATAATAGAGATGTATAGTATCAATGTCATACATATTATTGGAACTGGACAGTCGTAATGTACATCATAAAAACCAAATGTCTGGTTATTATTTTATCATTAAAATCATTGCTATATGGACCCAGACTATGCTATCATGAGTAAATGAGTTTGGCTTTAAGCTACCTTTAGCAATTACCCTGCATCTTTGTCATGATGATCTATCATAATGCTTTTACATGTAAGGCTACCCCAGGTGACCACAGTTTAACATGGATACCCGATTCAGGTACAGAATACCAACTCGAAGCCTTTATGCAGAGCGCCTTGCTGGGAAACAACAAGTACCATCTTTTAACATCTTTTGGTATGGCGCACACAGCGGATCAAACAACTGACCATCTGCTCACCCCGGGCAGAAACTCTCACTAAGACCACCGAGGCGGTCCCATTCCACCATTCCATATAGAATTGCCGATGTGACGTAAAGCATTAACTCACTCACTCACCCATTCCATATAGGGCTTAACTAATGACTTAGTATTAATCTGTTGAATATTCGCTTAGGAAACATATCACATACATATTCAAGAAAACTGTAAATATATATTTATGAAATATAAATGAAAACTGTAAATAATGCAACATGTTCTGATTTATTGTCACTGGCCAAAAAAATGGTTTATTTGTGCAAACCGACTACTTTATATTCTACTTTCATCATGATGTTAGGGTAAAAAAACAAAGCATTCTCTTTATCTCAGCCAGGGTCAAAACAAACAATTTATTCAACATCAGTCAAAACATATCTTTGTTTTGTAAGGAACATCTTAAGGGAGATAACTGCTCTCACCTTCGCCTACACTCGCCCTGCACTGCCAAATTCAGCTTTTGAATAATTTGTGCTTCCCGGACGAGATCAATTCATGTTATTGAATAAAAACAAGCAAACACTCCTTCCTTATCTTTCATTGCTAATGGTCTTGACGCTAGCCAATATCAGCACAGAAACTTTACCACCAAAAAAACAAAGACAGATTAATGAGAAAAATCCAATAAGATTTCCAATCACTTGGAGGTTCATCTTTCCTCACAGCTGACCATTAACAGCTAAATGACATCTATTATTCACAAGCAAGCATTCTTAGGTCAGCAGTATCAAAAGAAAACAGAGCAGCCCGAAATTCTTCAATTCTTGTTGACCTACAAACACAAGGATTTGTATGCAATCTGTACGTCCATCATCATCAGAGATTATTTTGATGAGGTGATATCATTAGTTATCGGAGGGAATACAAACACTCGTATCTCAGACAGCAATGTCAAGGCCCCAGTAGTCATGTTTGATTGACTGATACATTTGATGAATATTAATATCCCTAAATGGCTCCAAATTACAGCTTTACACATACTGAAACTGCTGTAAAAATAAGGGTTTTACTTCAAATCCTGTGCCAATCTTTTAGTATTTTATTTAACCCTATTACGTACTCAGATCACATAAACAGTTTGCAAGTATTAGCTCCTGAATCTGAGTTATTATGCATCAAAAACATTAGGAAATGAAATATCTGTTACCGGTACCTAAATAAGGACACTTGATATTGTTTTGTAGGTATTTATTGGAGCAGAATGCTTCATAAATTATAACCAGCATTTTGCTAACACCGAGCTTGATGTTCTTCATATAACTAAATAACAAACTTGACATTCTAACATACTTTATGTACTAGCAGTAAGATTCTGTATTTGTATTCTAATTAATCATCAAACAATATTAAAAATCACTTATCATCCCAAACTGGCTTCATCACAAGGTATCACATTGACGAGATGAAGCGATATGGCAGGAATGAAAAGGCAGACATGACCTTGACATGGTTACCTAATGACATCACAATCAAATCACACCGCTAATCTCTCTCTGCCACTGTTTGTTTCTTTCTTTAACGCCGCACTCAGCAATATTCCAGCTATATCACGTCGGTCTGTAAATATTGGAGTTTGGACCAGACAATCCAGAGACTGATATCATGAGCATGGATCCACGCAATTGGGAACGATGACATGCATCAACCAAGTCAGCGAGCTTGACCACCCAATCCCTTTAGTCACCTCTTACGACAAGCATAGTCGCCTTTTACTTAAGCCGGATAGCTCTACTTATAAATTACACTGAACACACTGGTAACATACAGAAAAAGTTGCATGTATGATTTTAAATGACAATAGAAACTCACCCTCATGTCTTGCAAGCTCAAATATATCAAGACTTAGTGAGGATAAGATATATGGATGAACAACTTCTTTATTACAATAAGCAGCGTCGTTTCAGTGTAGGTTCTAACACCATAATAAAGAAAGTCATTACTTGCTTGATAACAGAGTTAGAACCTACACCGAAACGTCACTCCTGATTGTAATAAAGAAGTTGCTCATCCATATATCTTATTCTTACTTAGGACTCCAACTTCTGAATGCCTCTCAAAGAAGATATATCAAGACTTGTTGATACAAGTAAAAATATGCTTTGCAATATGGGTGTGGTATACGGATGTATTGCAATATGTCCATCCTAAATACATGTATCGCAATACAACCCTTGCGTATTGAGATTTTCCAATAGTGAGTGAGTGAGTATGGTTTTACGCCGCTTTTAGCAATATTCCAGCAATATCATGGCGGGGGACACCAGAAATGGGCTTCACACATTGTACCCATGTTGGGAATCAAACCTGGGGCCTCGGCGTGACGAGCGAACGCTTTAACCACTAGGCAACCTGACCGCCCCAGATTTTCCAATACAGTCACAGAAGAATTAATACATTACAATATAAATTATGTATCTTGAGGCATTTGGATGGACTGGATTCTTATCTAAACCATGTAAAGAGCACACGCTTCAGGCTGTTTATGGTAACATTCCATATTGATGACAAAATCATGATAATAGATAGTCCTGTTTATCCATACTACCCATTTCTCAATTTGAAGTCTGGATTATTGAATGTAGAAGTATCAATTGAACAGAACATATATAATTTGGGCCCCAATACGTAGTGTTATATATATGTACGCAATGCAGCTCTCCATATTGCGATACATTGTAAAACGATTCATGTGTCAATACGTCAACCCTACTCCGCA